GCGACGATCTCAGTGACGCACACTTCTGTACTGCCTGCGCAGCACACCAAGATTCAGAGCATCGCCCACAACCTCCACCTTTCCTTTCCGTGATCGTGCACCGATGACGGAAAGTGTGCTTCCTGTCGCTGGACTTTCGAGCCTTCCTCTGCTTCCTCGAAGCAAGAAACCGCGGCTAAGCTAAGCCCAGCTATGGCCTAACCGCTTCCTTTATCACAAGGCTCCCGATTCTGAGGTGCCGTAGTCCAGCGTCTCCGTAGGTCCACATACAAAGTTCAGGCGAGCAGAGTCTCCAATGGTACTTCCACACTCGAGAACAATCATCACTTGCCTGTGATCATTGCCGGTTGACCATCGAACCACTTGCACTTCAAATGTCTGCCTCCCTCTCTTCTTGTTATCTTCTGAATGCTAAGCTCCGTGCATTACCCACCCGGCTGAACCACAGTAGGTCACAGAGACAGAGGGAGGGAGGGAGAGAGAGAGAGAGAGAGAGAGAGAGAGAGTACAGTGAGGGAGGGAGGATTCGAGTGACAGACGTCCAATTTTAAGAAGTAGAAAAAGAATTTTGAAGATGCCCTTAAAAACAAAGAAAGCAGGTCGAACACAAAACATAGAAGATAAGAATCAATAAAATGAATATAAAAGACGAGAAGTTGAGAGCTCGACGGAGTCTCGTCTTCCATGTTGCGATCTGACTCGCTCGATTCATGGAAACGACGAGACTTTGTAATATTCAAGTAACAGTCGCTCGGCATGCTCGTGTGGTGTACTGGAAATGGGAAAGTGGACTTTCGGCGACGATCTCGTAACTCATTCGGACTTTGAGGTCATGGGGACCAAGCGCCGAATGAATCCAGATTCCAGATTTTGCAAGATGTGCCCTTTACGGTTTGACTGCGACGCATCATTGCGTCATAACTACGCAGCAGCCTTTTGACCCTTTGGGTCCCCCGGGCTTGATCTATTACCATTTACCATTTACCATGTGCAGTTTGAAAGTGCACTGCAGTCATCGTCTGGCACTTCGCTGCAGTCCATAAACGTGTGCAAACCTTGCCTCTCCCTCTACCGCAGTCGGTCAGACCGACCTGTAGTCTTGCACCTGAGCTACATCGTCACGTGCCGCGATAGCAGGCGACATGGAAATCAGAAATCACAGTGAGAGAAAAGTTTGCCACATTGAACACGTTTGGACGGGTGTCGATCGAGTTCTGGAGCAGACAGGGCGGAATCTACTACGTTCAACATTTGCTGCACAAGGCTGCTTGCTGCTTCCCGTGACCGACTGGCCGAATATTCGACTCTGTGCTGCACATTTGCTGAGCGCAATGACGATCAACGTGATCGACGTTGCCGCTGAAACCTGCGCATTCGTTGCACAATGGCGCTGTTCGTTGGACCTCAGGCGTTTATTTCCAGGTATGTGGCCAAATCATCATCCAGAAAAGGAAAAACGCTCGGTACACACATCTCATGATGACAAGGTTCTCATTGTTTGAGTCAATCCCGTCGAAGAGTTTCCTCTTCGTCGGAATCTCGTTGCACCTCGTGGACCTCGTTTGCAACCCTCACAAACTTGGGACCGTTGCCACAGTTGCACATGGGTGTTCGACCACAGTTCAAGCCTGTGCTCGGTGATCACCAGAGAGTAGCGTCGTAAACTAATCCTCTGACGATGTCTTCGTTTGCTGCTGAGTGATAGGAATATTTTTTTCCGTACAGTGATGCTATGACCTCAAGATCATCAATTAGCAGCCAGATGCATATTACAGTCTTTCTCGTTGAAAGAAAGTGGTTTAAGTTTCAAAACCTGGTTCACATTCTATTCTTGACTTGACTCTTTGCCAAAAAGTCGTCATCACTCCACTCGGATTTAACATCATTAATCCGACTTTACCTGGTCTTTATGAGACGCATCTCTTCCGTTCTGATACTGAGTTAGTCCCTTGTGGTAAAATGAATACCGTTCTCCACTTGTTTGAAAAGAAAGAAGAAGAAGAAGCATTTTGCTAAAAGTACCTCTACTCTTTTGCTACATGTTCTCCTCTCCTCTTCACCAAGTAAAGTGAGGGTATACCGAAAAGGAGAAAAGCATTTAAATTCTTCTCCTTTCAGTTCATGTAGTTATTTATCTGACAATATTTTATGTTTACTTAAGTGTTACGTGATGAAATTCTTCTTATGATGTTAAGTAGTGGTGTTTATCGGAGTAGATTTGTAAAAAGATTATTTCTCATTAAGTTTTGCAAGAAACACACATCATGTGTTAGGACAAATATTTGGTGAAACACATGTGATGTGATCTTCTCACATGTATTCATGTGGATATTTCAGTTAGTATTTATTTCACGGAGATTTTTAGTTTTTTTGGGTTCATTTTGCATTTTATCACATTGAGCATTTTAACTCCATGAATTTTCTATTGTGTGAAATTGTAGCCATGTGTGGGGATGGTTTGTGTTGTTCAATCCTACAGTTCAAGGTTAAATTTTATTCTCGAGATTTTTTATTATGATATGATATGATATTGATGAGTTGAAGTTATTGTTCGTTAGTGTTAGCTCAAATTTTGGGTTAAATTCTCGGTCATCTAACTCGGATTAGAGTTAAGATTAGACCTAGGGTATTTTGCTGCCATGTATAAATAGTAGGGAGAGCCACAGTTTGCATTGAACACTTTGCAAGTTTTTAAATAAAGTCCTCATTGTTTTTGTGTAGATGTAAACCTTTGTATTCTTGTCCGCGTTGTTTCTCTATTCGTGATGTTTTATGAATTCTTTTGTTTCCTATTACATGATTGATGTTGAATCACTTTGTGAAAATTTTCAGCTTGTGTAGTGTAGCTATATACAAAATCATTGTGTTTGAGATAAAGTAGAACACGTATTATATTTTTCTAGTGAATAATTTTTTTGTGGTTGACAAAAAGATCATTTTTTTAGATTATTTGTATGTCTTATTTTTTTGGCTCGTAATTCATTTATTTTCTCTAAATCTAACATGGTATTTTATCTTGCGAAAATATATATTTATTTGTCATAATGATGATTGCGTATGGTGTTGAATGAAAGATGAATGAGCATTTGTTGGATTGTAATGATTCAACTGAGTTTTGTCACAACTTGCAAATTTTAACAATTGAATCAAGCAGTCGGGTTGTTTTCCGACTGCTTGTAGTTTCATGTATTGACACATGAATGCATTACCAATTGTACTTTCATTTTCAATTTAATTTCACCTTTTACATATAAAGTGAACACAAACTGGATACTAAGGTCTTCTTTCACATTAAACAAATCGGGGAAAAAAACTTACCCTAGTCAGCGGAGTATACGCTCTGTATTAATCTGCATCTTTTGTTTGGGAAGCAAACAAAGTGCGGAGTTCCATATAGGAGAAGTCTCAAAGATGTCAATTGCGCGAACTTTTCTTGCCTACAAACGGAGAACATACTTAGAATTGAATAACCACGTGAAGTACATTGTCCAGCACAAATGATGGATACTCACCATCAAGAACCAAACGGGTGGTTTTAAAAAAATCTTATAGTGTTCTATAATATATCTCTTTTAAGTGAAATTTTTTACAATATCTGGTATACTATAGATAGTATCTAGTTGATGTTTGAAAAAATTTACACGACAGAATGAAGGATACCCATGTGATCTTATATGATATTGTATTACATGTATTTTCATATACATGTAAAACAATTCAATATAAAGGTTTAAATGAATGAGAAAAGTTAATATAGATATACATCCATATCCACGTTGACATTATTTATGTATTTACTGATAATCCGTGCACAGTGTATATATAATCAACAATTGTAAAATCATAGCATGCACAACGCATCTAGCACATCATATCCAGAGACCAAGGATGCAATGAGCAGGTTTCTCCAATATACCATATCCATTCTTTCATTCCCAACCAAGTAAAAATATGCCAATCCATGATGGATTAGAATACATTTCACTGTGCCACGGTGACTGATGTTTCTCCCCGTGACATAGGCCAGATTCCTTGTTGTCTCGTACTTTACCATACACTGTCAGTGAACAACGAATCATGAGGATTTTTCTCCGATGTAATATTCGAAAATTTCAGGTTTAATCAGCACACCCATGTGGAATTTACTCTTCTGCAATGTAGGTGACGTTCACGTGTGGTAAGATTCATTATTGCCTTCATAGACTGCTTAATCCATCTGTAAGCAGATAAGTTCATGCACGTCGTGCGGATATTAACGCTGTTTGAAGTCCTACAATTGCCTACTCAGGTGGTGTGAGAACCAAAAGTGCTAATTGTTTTGATAGTTCCGATGGCGTACGTGATTTGGTTGGAGTGTTCATACATACTGTCTGCACGTGTTAGCGGCCACAGATCAGAGAATACTCTTATCATGTGTAACATCACCAAATCGAAGTATCCAACTATAACATCCAGCCACGTATTTCTCTGTGCAAATATTCTCCCTGAAACAGGCAACGTTACTTCGGAAGCAATTTAAAAGTGTTTCATGTAGATGTTTTGCAGATCACAAATCCCATAAATAAGTGAACAATGCCCAAATCCTGCATTTGGCGTGGACAAGCTCGTTAACGAATAGCAGCGCAGTATGGGATGAGAAGGGAAGAGATGGTTTCTTCCGATCTAGAGTCTTATCGATTCCCGAGGTTACACCAGTGAAATATATATTATAAGACTTAATCCATGGGAGTTATTAGTTCGGTGCCCATAAAAAGTTTGCTCCAATAAAAGGGAAATTTGGAGGAAGGCAACGTGCAGTATTAATAATTCGTGTGAGTGAAAACTGGAGGGCACAAGGGAGAGAAGTTCATTGAATACGTCGGAGTTGCATAGACAAAGAATACAGTAAAGTGGCCTCTAAACGATTCGACGTTCTTTCCGAGTAATTGCTAGAGTTCAAGCAGGCAGATATCCACGCAAGACGGAACAGATAACACATGTTGTAGAGCCAGAAGAATAAGGGATATCAGACAGTGTTCAAAGATCCTGTCAGTATCAACTGTCCAAGAGCCTCAATATAAAATCAAATTCCAATACTCACGGCCTTGCTCAGGACCTTGACGATATTCAGAGATCTGTAGAGAGACTAATCGGATTTGATGAAACTAGCAACTGCTCTCTGGCCGGCATTGAAGGCACCGTAGAACTGGAATTCCTAAGCAACAACTACGAGAATAATTCACACGGCGATTGAGAGCTTGCGATTGAATACTCAGCACTCTCAGGATATATGCTGACACCAATGTTCACAGCGAATTCAAGTAAACTTTGCTCGGTACCAGGTCCGTAATCTTATCAGAATCGGCAGCAGATACAAACTATCAACATACGTCGTACAGGAGACAACTCACGTAGGCACAATCCCTCTTCATCTTTCGATTAGAGCCAAGTGCTGACAACGCGACGTCGAGATTTTCAGTGCAGATCTATAGAAAAGCTTGACTATGTACATGCACCACAACCTATAATCTCAATCGATGAATCTTGACATAAAAGAAAGTGATCTGTACAAGAACCCTGTTCAATCCTCTTCCTGTACTAAGTATACCGTGCAGGGTCTGTTGATACAAATTTGCCAACTATGTCCAAAAGCCAAAACTAAAGGTCAGACACAGCTACATCAGGCACATACTAATGAATCACAAATTCCATCCCACATTGACGTGTGAGAAAGGAAGATGATCTATACAGCTTTTGTTCCTAAGATGTCAGAGAATTTTCTTCAGAAAGGAGCAAATTTGGGGACGGCGAGAACCGGGATCAAAAAGTCGGCAGAGGCCAAGAATTATGAGCTTCACCACACTCCAGAACAGAATCTACTGTCTGATTCCTTTGAAGGAACTTGAGCCTTGAGAAGAAGGAACAGACAGACGCAGCGGTCTAGTGAAATACCTCAAACCCCAAAATTTTGAAACTGAGATTTACCTGGTCGAAAATTTAACCTTTGGATTTACGAGATGGTTTTGAAGGCTTCATGACGGAAAAGATGGAGAGATCTCCCGAGCGAGAGCTGCTTCCATTCAGGCTGAAAGAAGAATCTCTTGCAAGTACTGACTTCTCCAAGTCGGCAGCCTGTTGCCTTAAAATTTGAAACAGTGATGGACCAGTTGTCTCCGCTGCCTTCGCTTCATTGCCCTTCCCTCCTGATGAACCGCCTCTGGAGGTAGGAGTAGTTCGTGCTTTACGGTTTTGATTATCCCCACCCGTGGCAGGAGACAAGTCTTTCACACCCTGGACAATCATCGTAGATAAAATGACGAAATGATTGAGTAAGAATAAACACAAATAAGAACTTCACCGTAACTAAGTAAAAAGACAAATCCAGAATAAGTTTAGGTGTTGCAAAGCAGGTACCTTATCGTCACTTCCCTGAGGCCGACTTGCATGGTTGCTGTTACTATCATCGCGTCCAAATATGTACGATCGAGAATTTCCTGATCCTTGCCGCGTGGTTGGTGGCACAGAAGTCGTAGTTGTGCGCCGCACGAAGGAGGACTGCACACGAACGATCATCGCAGGTAAGCTGGGTCCATTTGCTGCAATGTCGCGCAGTGAAGAAGGAGAAAACAACTTAATATCCGAATGAATTTGGATAACAAACTAATCTGAGTTTTGTTCTAGGTGTTCTTACCTGTACGTGCGACAGAGTATGGTGATGTGCTACGCCAAGGGGCCGCATGTCGTTACTTCCTGTATACATGGGAAGTCTATTAGTAACAATTCTTGGTAGCATTTGGTACTTCAATTTCTAAAGAGAATAGGAGGGAGAAGCAGGTGGCGCACCTGTTGTAACTTTGGTACTTTTTATTGTTGCGACATTTACTTTGTTTATGAGGCTGAAAATTTGTCTTGAAGTCTCGTCATCGTGTACAGAGGGGAGTTCGCTGTGCTCTTCCTATATACCAGACGTTCAATGCAGAAAGTCATACAATAGCATCTATGACCCTACAATCGGAGTACGGTGTACTTTGAGCATGACGAGCTAGAAAACTCTGAACAGCCGGTTTCTTAAGTACAAAACGAACATACGGCTCCTGGTGAATAAACGTTCGAATCCAACTAGGCGAGACAAGCTTATTCAAGACATGTAATTAATCCCCATGCGAAGATTACATTGAACACGAAATCTTAAAAGGAGAGCCAAGGCACATTCTTTTCTGCAAAATACTGGAGACAACTGCCAAATTCATTGCGATCACTTACAGATTCATTGAGCAGTCGCTGCCGCCGAAACCATTCATCTTCTTCTTCACAGTCATCGTCTTCCGTTTCTTCAACTTCTTGGCTTCTTGAACGTTTAACACCATGATCGGTGGGCTCTTCACTTTTTCTCTTAATACTAGATGTTAGGCTCGCGACTGTAGACTCAGTTGGTTCCTCTGTTGCTTCCTCCACTGTTTGGGACTTACACCCTGTGCTGTCATCATCATCTACCTCGTCCAAAATTCCGGGCAGTTTTTGCTTCTTGGCTTTGTTCCTCCAACCAGTTTCTATCCTCTGTAAAATGGTATCTGTCATAGAATCGTCTTGCTGCTGAAGCCATTTTCGATGGAGGTCTGCACGCCGTTTCCTGTCGGCTGCTTTTTCGGTCACATCCTGTGCTAACAGATCGCGAAGGTCTTCGGTAGTATCGTCATCCTCGTCATCCTCATCTTCCAGAAGGTCTTCATCCTCATCTTCCGCTTCATCATCTATTAGACCCCTAACACGAGATACAGTGGGGAGGACTTCTGCTGCTCTTTTCGGATCCTTGTTTTCCTTCTCCTCGTCTTCCACTCGAGAACTGTTTTGAATATATTTATCTCAGTAAGGGTTCAGAACTGAGATACTGGAAACACATTTCTATCCAACAATACAACAAGAGCATACAAACAAGAGAAATAGTAATTAAATTGAACGAAATTTATAACAACAGCAATCACCCCCGAAATAGGTAGTACGGGGAGTAAATGTGATAAACGTTCAAACTTCCACCTCTCAAATGGCTATCTTGTTATCGCTTGAAAGAGATGAAGATCATTAAAAAATGAAACTTTACCTGCTATCTTCGTCCTGAGTTTCGGAGTCAAACTGCAAATTCATACTGTATTCAGGAAGAGTTACATCTTCGTCTCTACCTCTTGCATCTGGAGCTTCATCTCGACTTGGGCTCAGTTGAGAATCGCAGTATAGCTCCTGAATTGTTCCATGGTATGAGAGGAATATTAGCAACTCACTGTTTTTAGCTTCCAGTCTAATACCCTCCACTTGTGGGGAAACGAGATCAGGACAGTAAAAGTCAGCACTACAAGCTCAAAACAAGCAAGGTTAAATAGTGTCACGTTTCACCTGTGAATCTATCAAAAGTGGCCGCAGGGGGGCCTCCCGTTTGCCTGATACCACCGAAGACTGCCAGTACCAGAGAGGCACGTCATTATGCAGAAAAATCAAAGCCTGTAAAGAAGGAGGTGCATAATTGTTGGAGAACAATATCTGCAAGCTATATTTCAACAGAATGTAGACACTTGACGCTTTCCCAGAAAATCCATCCTGGTGACAAGCATGACTTGAAGCCTTACCTTATCAGCGCGAGATGCTTCAGGTCTGGTTTCCGGTGTACTCGGTCTGCTGGGTCCTTCTACAGATTCAACGAAGGCTGTGGTGTTCTGAAAGTTTCCAAATATTGAAAAAAATTTACGTGTTAAAACAGGAAACGGAAGAATGCACTGGGAAGGGATATTGAATAGAAGAACAATGACCTGGAGAACTACCCTTGAGCAGAGGAGAAGCGTTCATCAAATTAGACAATGTAAGTGGACCTACAAGAGCCCGTACCATATGCTCATTGGTTCCACTTGTTCCACCAGGTTCTTGCTTCACGGCCAGAACCTGATGAGTGGGAGGCTTCACCATCACCACCTCGATGTCGTCCTCCAGATCTAAGTTCAATCCACTGTCGACAGAGAGAGCCTTCTTCAAGTCCAAGATTGGGCGTTTCGAAGAACACTCGGCAACTTGATGAGATGATCTCTTCCTATCATGTTCAACACACTTCTTTCAGACAAGCAACCTTCAACATACAGAGAAGGAACACGATTCGCAGGGACACAAATATTCTGCACACATAGTCAATTCATCTTTGGCCCAAGTGTACACCTGGTAGAACTGATGTTGGACATAAACGAGAACGAAAATCTCATGTGGGATCCCCGATATGTCCAAACACTTGAAGTGAGTTAAACAGCGCAAACTTATCAAATCTGAGTATTTCCGAGAAAATCTAGACTGAGAGGCTTACTCTGATCACTTTTTCTGTCAAATTTTCCTGATTGTGACTAACAGAAGTACGTAGGTAGATATAAAAAAACACAGAGGGATGTTGTGCTGCGGTCAAGCTGCGGCGCACTAGCTGCCTTCTTACTTTTGAGCTCGCTGCAGCTTACGATTCCGCATTTTCTCTAGAACACTAGATATTGGTTTCTGCTCCAGCTGCTCTTCGGGAAATGCCACCTTCTTGGACTCTGAACAAATAAAATCGGCGTGTAAAGATTTTGACCTGTAAATCATGATAACCTTTCATTCCAGGTACGTCCCAGATAGTTAATACAATAACAGACGATATCATCGATAGATTGGAAACCGCAGTGCAATCGCATGCACTGCTCACAATCCAGCACATTAGAAACTACTGTTCAGGTGTGATATTCGTTAAACACCATGCTCCATACAAGAATAAAGTCACATCCATGCATCAAGTCAGGGACAAACGAGCACAAACCTCTCAGTAATCTTTGCGTCTCTGCGTCTATAGATTCGGCCTCTTCCCTCCTCTGCAAGAAAAATGGGTTCGTTTTATCAAGAAAGGTTTGTGCCGATTGAATGCTTCAGAATGTGGTTACTCTCCTCACAGCTATGAGAGACCTGAGAAATAACCCTCTCATTCATCAAAATTGCGTAGATATTGTGGAGGCACAGTTATGCGGATCTACTTGAAATTATCGGCGACTAGAATCCGTAGTGACAATTTGTTGAGATCAGCAACATCCGTCACAAAAGTACAACGATTTATGTAGAAGAGTATCACCTTCTTCTTGGAAATACTGGCCGCCGCATCTAGGCCATATTCTATCTCCAAATCAGGTAATGACGGGTCATCCTCGGTAGCAAGAGACTTCCTCTTCTTATCGTTCTGTGGTGAACCAGGCATCTCTGGTTCCATGTCCGTGTTTTCCCTCTCAGAATTCCCTCCGTCCATTGCAAGAAGGCTCGCAATGCCTCAAGGACTGGTTACGTTCACTTCTCTTGCCCTTGACAACCCTTCGACAGAGAATTTCGAAAAATTCCAAACGCTGATCACGATACTGAATGTGTGAACGTGTCTAATCGTGGGGTAGCCCAGAACTAAAATTCCTGTCTCTGATGTCTTCTACTGCGGCCGAAGAACTGGAGTCTCGCAATCTGCTAGACCATTCTTTCACAATTATCTCCAGCTGCGAAATCAAGTTTGAAAGGTCGTCAGCTGCGAATCAAACAGGTATTCGTGGCCATGTTTCACTCACTTACACCTTGCCGGCTCCAGCTCCACTACACGGCAGACCAATCGGACTGGCAGCTCGTGGCAGAGGGAGTATCCAGAAGACCTCTGCCTCGCCTAAACCTGCGCCCGTCGGAAGAACTCTAAGAATTCTAACTACCCCGGACGAAATACCCACTCAAGGCAATCGCGTTGCCCGATTGGAGCAATTTCTATGCCTCCAGAAGTTCACATCACCGTCGATCTAAAGGCGAATGAGTGGGCGCAATCACGCAAAGTTCCTGTCTCCTCCACAACGGACAAACAACAGCACTCCGCGCACCAAGAAACACCATGAGTCGAGGAGGAAGAGGTAAAAGAAGCCCACAAATCCCCACAGCGCCGGTTTTGGACCGCGCTTCTCCTGGACCGGCCTGAGCTTCTGAGCTCCACTCGACTGTTCTGAAAAAAATCCTTCGGAACCAGACCTCGGACCTCGACTCAGAGCTCGATTATCTGCGGCATTGTTGCCGAGCACGCTCGCAATGTTCTCGCATTGCTCGGGCAGACAGTTTCGAATTGGTCGAATCGAGCGCCTCTGCTAACGAGCCGATTGCACGTTTGAACGAGCGATGAGGCGCGAAAATGCTCGACATGCTACAGGCGATTTATATGCGGGGCCCAGGTCGCCGCGACGGGAGATCGCCGGTGCGCACTCGCCTGGTCTTGTCAGGACAAAGCTTCTGCGAGGGGCAACCGTAAGGCCAACGCAACATCCGTGCCGTGCCGCCGGTTCCGGTGGAGATTCCGTCCTCGGTGTTATATACGCTGACCTGCTACTGAAAGCCCGCGTATCTTGTCTTTATACAGGGGTCCGCTCCTTATCGTCGCTATGTCGGTCGATGTTACAAGAATCACCGGTTGTCTCGCTGCGATGCGTGTCACCAGGGAGTGGGCCCTGAGACTGGCAACGGCCTAGGTGGGTAACCGGTGACCTAACCCAGTCAGTAGACGGTTACACAGCAGCGTGGTTACATACTCTCTTAATGACGGCGCTGGATCGAGTTGACTTGGGTCACATTCCTACGAGGACAGGAGTTTGTTCGTAATGAGTCTCTCCCTGAGAGAATCATTCGGTGCTCCCTGAGAGAAAGCACCGAATAATTCACAGCTATACCTTCTGCTATATTCTACACATCCACTTGATGAGGTTTTCCCATCGAGTGCCTTCCGAGGGAATCCCAAGGTCAATTCGCCACAGGCGGTACATTCGTGAGTTTTGAATAAAGAGTACCAAGATTGGATAAAATTTATTCAGATGAAAACTCAAATCAGTTGAATATTATGAAGTTAGTTTTCATTCATACCATTATAACAATTGCGATTTCTTTGATTCATTTTAAATCTAAATCAAATACACTACTAACGCTAACATAATATTTTACACTAACATAATATTATGACTTAAAGTGATCATATGTGATAGCGTGTATTTTGTAAAAAATGGCTTAATACACCTAGACGAATGAAAAGGCTACCTTTGGTCGATCAGGCAAAAAGATGCCAATTTTATTTTTTTCAAGAATTCTGAGCATTCACAAACTGATATTTACAGTTTGTGAATGTTAAATCACACAAAATCACGAGTTTCTTGAAGACGTATATTCACAGAACGAGAACATGTTAGAACTGAATGGGTAAATTGGTAACCACAGGCACTGTTTGCGGGCAAGTATAATAAACTTCGATGACCCTGATGACAGGTGTCGAAGGTGGGTCGAAGGTGATGTGGCAGCTGACGCGGAATAGGCGGCATTCATACAGTTCACAGTTGGAGACGCGGAGCTGCAGCTGAAAGAGATTTCAAATCGCAACGCCTCGATTTCAATTTCTGGTCTCTAAAGGCGACCTCGTCCTCGCTTTCGGGCCTTCGGCTGCGCATATCGCGACTCGTTCTGCTGGAGCTCGTAGAGGCTCGGCTCTCTCGTCCGCGTCGACGCGCCCGTGCAATTGTGGAATTTCTATTCCGCATTCGATCCGTCGGTGGAGCAAAGTTCACGAGTTTCAATTTCACAGTCTGATTCGAATTCCGTGAAAGTGAGTCTGTTTCATCACTTTCTTGCAATGAAATCGCCGTGTTGACGGATTTTGGCTGACATTGGGTGAAGTTGTAATCTGCATTTGGCGGTGTGTCCATCAAAGTGCACCACGTGTGAATAGATTCCCATAGACGGCGTCCGAGGAAATCGCTAGGCCTTTTTTATTTCGTTAAAGTGTTTTCAGATGAAGATTTATTGAAACTGTGTCAAATCAGGTGATCGTTTCCGGGGACTCGTTTTGTTCCTGCGAGAAGAAGACTGGGCTGGGTTGCACATCTGTCAGAATCTGCAAATGTCGAGGGGAAGGACTGATTCCTTGATGCCACCGACGCATCTCTCCACTCTGGATAAGCTGGTCAGCGAGATAGAACAGAGTTCTGTCGTTAGCTCCAGGGTGCTCAACCAGATTAGTGAAATTCTCGGACAATTGCCGGACAAATTATCTGCTGACGAAAAGTTGCAGGCTTGGAAGCTGAGCTATCGACTTTGGAATACATGTGTCGATTTGGCGAACAACAAACCGCTCAGTGAAGACATTGACGAAGATCATGCAAGGCTCCGTCAAGCAGCAAGCGATCTGTTACTTAAAGCAGGAACTATAGACGGTGTGGATTCATGTCATCTGAAAATTGCACAGTTCTATTATAAAACGGGCACCATCTGGCACAAGATCAAAAATTATGGCCAGGCTTCCGTGTGCTTCCAAAAGGCTGGAGAACTTATCTCCCAGGGCCAGCAGGAATGTGACGGAACTACTGATGTGAACAGCAGAGAAGAGGAGCAGTTTTTGTTCGATTTGTACTTGGCAAAGTCACAAACAGCCTGGGAAGTCAATCATCGAGCACTCGCATGCAGCCTTTTGGCCAGGGTTCGTAAATTACTCACTAATTTTCCAGAAAGATGTCAGCAACTTGCTGAGCAATATTTCCAACATGGACAGGAGCTTGTAGCTAAAGAAGATACAGAATCTCAAAGCGAGTCAATAATGTACTTGGAGCAAGCATTTGAAGTCTCTTCGGAGGTTCGGAAGGATTCCCTTGATGAATCCGCAAGAGCTTCCTTGAGTGAACTGAAGTTACAAATCTTACGTTACCTAGCGGCAGGACATCTACAAAGAGAGAACTATGAGAGTGTTCTAAAGTGTGTGGCAGTTCTTAAGTTGGCGCCGAGTCATCCAAGTACTAATTATCTTGCTGTCAAAGCCTTGGCGGGTTTGTGCCGCCATGAAGAAGCTGAAGTTGAATTGTTTGCTCTCATCAGACAACATAGTGCAAGTGTAGAAGCTTGTCTTTCTGCTTTGGAGATAGTGCTGCAAGATCCCAATAGGCTGGAAGGTGGAAAACGTGCTTTTTTCCTAATTCAATCATTTCATGCCACGAACAAAATGATACCGCTAAGGATGCTAGAACATCTACTCAAACCTCTACCAGACGCAGATGACAATCACTTTAAACAAATAGAGCTTGCATTAGAGATCGCGACCAATACGAACATAGTGTCATTAATCACAGATGAAAATACCGATGGGCTCTCTGTTCATGACTCTCATATATCATCTAACAAAGAGCAACAGTGCACACATGCAATCCTCTGGAACAGGTACAAGATTTTTGTGCAGTGCGTCCCAGGACATGCACAAGTAGGCTGGACAGTTTAATTTCAAATTTTGATAATCTGTGATGCTGGCGGTGTTCTCAGTCAAGTATATGTAGGCTTCTTACGGACAAACTTTGGACTTGGCACTTGTTGATTGCATGCAGTGGTGCAGAGCATTTTACAGCAAAGAAGTACGAGACCAGTATAAAGCTTTTTGAGGCATCGATGTTGTATCTTCCCGGCGATGAGGAGAACAAATTACAACGCGCTAAGTCCTTCCGTGTTCTTTGTCTTTGTCACATTGCCCTATTGCGGTATGACAGGGCTGCTGAATTCGCCATCGAAGCACAGAAGGTAAAAGAAAATTCTAAGACTGTCTCAAATCGTATTAAACTAAAAAGCAAGATCATTGATATGGTTTCACAGTCCACAGCAGAGACGCATTCGATCTATAATTAAGCTTTAACTACATTCATGTGAGTAGAGGGATGTGTTTCTAATTTTGTAATTTCGTTTTCTATGCAGATAGAGCCCAACATCCCGAGCGCATTCTTGAAAGTAACCATTCTCTTAAAATGGTTTCAATTTTCTGACGTCTTGAGTGACATAACAACTTGTGAATGAATCTGCACAATACTTCTTAATTTGAACTTTGCCTTCCCTAGATCCATTTATATGGTGTATGACTTGTTTTCTTTATGAGCCCTACAACGATGAGCCTCAAATATTACGATATATATCTATCTCGTTAGTTACTTATATGTTCATTATTATTAAACTTCATGATTGTGAAACTTTTCAGTTCAAAATCTTTCTACAAACAAGCAAAGAATCGGAAGCTGCTGAGGAAGTGGAGAAGATGGTCAAATGTCCAGATTTTGAACCTAACTTCTTAACTCTGGCTGCACACGAAGCTATGGCTCAGAATTGCCCAAAGGTGGCCATTAACGCACTGTCAAATTTACTTGGTCTGGAATCAGAGAAACGGAAGTCTACCATAAAGGATGTAATTCTTATTAGGAACCTTGTCAGTCTTTCGTTGCGAGATACTGGGAACCAAAAGGAATTCTTCAGGTATGTGAAGTTAGCTCAAACGCTATCAACAGATGCTGGATTTGAGTCATTCTTTGGATCCGGAAGCTTGGGTCAGCAGGAGGCAAAATGGTTTGCATCCACTTCTTGGAATCAGGGTTTAGTTGCAATCAAAAGTAAAGATTGGCAGCTTTCTGGGGATATTTTAGCTTGCGCTTCAGATTTCATTTCATCTCTCGAAGAGACTCATGAGAATCTTCAATGGCTACAAAAGTCTCTTCTTCTAGCAACTTCTTGCCTTCTGGCAGCTGACTCCGGAGTAGAATGTCTCAAAATGGCCACCAAAATGCTGGAGAAATGTAGAAAGGTACGGTGCAGTATTTTGAAGTCTCTCTCATTGAGCGTCTTCAAAGCTGATATGCAAAGCTACATCTTCGTTATGCAAGAAACTTGTTTCAAGCTTCAGTTGGGTATCTCAACGAGGGTCAGAGTGAAACTTTGGAATAAAGTTATGACATTGAACTGAACATTCTGCTTGCAGGTACATAGAGCTCTAGCCATGAGCATGGAATCAGCAGATCCAGTCGACCACAATATGGAGGTATACATGGCTTTAATCTCCTTCGACATTAAAGGTCGGGTGAAAGATCACAAGGCTCAACTCGAGATCCTTTACCAATGTGGCACCTTGTCCGGATTCAAGGCGGAACACTATCTTATGATGGCAGATTATGCAACAAACGAATCTCACCCTCGTATTGAAGCAGCAACCACCGCCTTACGCATGGCACTGAAGTTTATGTTGAGTTTGCCTGCCCCTGATTTCAAGCTGGTCGCCATGACTGTTAGAAAGCAAATCAAGATCCTGGACCAACAAAACAAAGATGGGCCTGAAGTGCTGGTGATTTACCGGCAATCCAAGGAAATTCTCGCAAATTCTTCCGCAGGAGACTATCCACCAGATGAAGTACAATGGTTGGTTGCAACTTCGTGGAACCGCGCTGGATTGCATCTCAAATTTCAACGTTTTACACAAGCAGAAACCTGGATGGAAGTTGCTATAGATCTGCTGAAGTATGCTCCTCAAATGGAGAGTCGCAATTCAATTATGGTTGAAGGTTTGAACCACGTAAGGCAGAAGAGAATGTCATCTCTGACCATCGCTCAAGGCCAGATCAAAGATTAACGAGGAAAGAGGAAATTAGAGCCATGTAATGGAGGACGAAAGCATCGGACATTCGACAGAGGAAAAAGCTGATTACAACTGGTTCACACCGTGAGTGCATCATCATTTAGCGTATGATTGGTGGTAACGCAATGCTAAGTTTCTTGACTCAGGAATTCCTTCAAGAAGACATTGAATGCACATTCCTTGGAAGAACTTATCACTATATCTATTTGTTAGAGTTCAACAAGCACAGCACTTTTCTCACTGTGAATAAAGGCTACAGTTATCAAACTTCTACCATCTTGTTGGTTTTTTCATTCTACAGTTATTGATTTTCGTCCTTTTTAAAGTAAATGTATGTACCTTATTCAATTTTTTATGACTTTATTTCCTATCTACAACCGCGCTCTTCTCCGTTTCATCAAGCAATAACCTTGTTGGAATTTTTTAAAGTCAAAAGTTGAAACTCACAATACCAACCATTATAATAGCAATATTTGAAACAGCAAATATAACCGCAAATTTAAAACTGTCACAGTGTGAAAGCATTCCCTCAAGTTTTGAAATGAGTTCAATCAAAGTAAGTGCAACATATTTTAATGTAAATTGCTGCTCCATAGTTTTATATGAAGCAGAACAAGACATTTAAAATATTTGTTATGAACTAATAAGCATCAGGAGCTATTAAGGTCCTGACGACACATACTAGACGATTAGTGATTTACTTCAGAGTTCTTACCTACTTTAAACTTTCAGTCTCAGTTATCAAAGCTAGAGAATGAACGCGATATCCATGTGCCCATTTTGATTTCTGAAAACAAGGGCCAGTTGATGTATGTGTGTTACAAACGTGGAACCTATGTGTGAAGCAACCTATGTCCTAAATTCAAGCGCCTAAATACTTATGTACATGTAACTCTTACTATTTTGGACGATCAGGTATCATTGGATGGGACAACGAATATCTGGAGACATCGTGCAACATTTAGAAAGTGACACAAATAACTGGATTTCAGTTCCTTTGGGGCCATCCTCAGTATACACGTTTGATTTCATCCATGTATGAATAATGGGATCACCCGCTTTAAATTTTATACACGGTACTTTGCAGTTTTGAATCTGTCATGTTTTTATTTATATACATAAGAATGTGGATACCCGAAATAGAAGATATAATTTGTGTTCATGTTTACTTGCTGCCACATTTGCTAACGTTAGTCACCGTAATTTTCTAGAGACCTACATGAAATTTGCATGTAGCATGTATCAAAATCATCACCGTATGTAAGCTTTGATATCACCTGCATGCAAGTCAATACTTCTTATAAAATCTAGAGTAGACCAATCGAAGATCTATAACTGTAGTTTCATACTTATATATGATCTATTTTTGTGTGTCACTAGCTCAGCCGATATTTTTATTAAAATGTTGCCACAAATAAGGCTGCAGAGATCAAATTTGAATAATATGGTTTGGAAGAGTGAAGGAACGAGGTGGCTTCAGAATTTGCAATACGGCCCAAAGGGAAGTAGAACAGCTGAAGCTCTCCACAAGAGACGTAGAACATGATGCTCAAGATTAGTAATTTTGAAGATTGCAAATTGTGAGGAGACTTGAGTTCTTAGCATTGGGAGCATGAGATATATTGAGCGAGTTTAGAGCTCAATTAATAAATAGAAGGTTCAGAGGAGCTGAAGCGAGGGAGATAGATGTGTAATGAAGAGACAGTAGAGAATAATAAGTCATGAGCAAGTCCCTAAACCCATATTCAGCTCGAGTCGAATTGTACACTATATTAAACTCTGAATGAAAACAGTATCACAAATGTCGTCAATAGTAGCTTTCACTTATGATACGGAGATTTTCCTTCGACGGGCTAATTTTCCTGTAAAAAAATGTCCACCCTTGCGGTACATTGTTCCTATTTCGGTTGACACAAAAAATTCTGTTAAGCATATGCGTGTATCGTATTATTGATGTGAATAATACTTCCTACTAGACTGTGGATGGAATTTACGACAGAGCATTTGCTACCGTCAAAGAATGTCGTCACTGCATGCAGGAAATAGTTTAATTGTCGACGAGAGTCGACTTGCTTCGTAGACCTTTAGATTCCTCCATTCCTGATTGATCTTTAGACATGCACTCCAAACCTTCTGCATGTGGGCTGACATCTATGTGCAATACTATCATCTCATCGTCTCGGAGCTGGATTCGGGCACAATGAAATTCATAGCTTCGAGACTTACCACAACTTCCTCTACTCCTGTCATCTCTTAAGGCCGTGAAACGAAATGACATTGGTTAAGCATGACGTCAGTGGACCTGATTATGCGATACGTTGCTTGCGGTCACTCAATCGTTGTTTACTGAGATGTGCACGCACTTCTGCTTCGTGATAGATTTTCCAAATTCCTTTTGCTCGAAATTTCTACATTGAATGCTTGCAAACTTCACTTTTCAGACGATCCTCTCAGAGCACGAGGTCAGGTTAATTGTAGATAGAGTTACTGTATTCAGATTGTATAATAAAGGTTTCAGGAATGTTATAAACGAATGCGTTTTTGCGGACGAAAGTATTTCATCGTAGCTACTCAGGAATCTCCTCACAAGATCCAATAGATGTTTCGCATTCACATTGTTTTGTGCGGATGAGTCAAGTGGAAACTTTACTTGGGGTTGGTCATCCGAGCATGGACTTCAATTTCTAGGCCAACAAATTTGGAACCATGGTTTAGAAATTCTGCTCTAGTATATAAATTTTTTAAGTATTATAGATTTTCATTTCGATAATTTTTTATTATTTAGATTTTAGTATATCTAATTTTTAATATATGAAATACAAAATAATACATTATTTAATATATTATTAATGTTGAGAATGATTTATATAAAAATATTTAGATTTTAATATATGTAATTTTTAATATATTACATTCGAAATAACACATAATCTTTAATATACTATTATTATTGAGAATGATTTTTATAAAAATATTTAGATTTTAGTATATCTAAATTTTAATATATCATATTCAAAATAACACATGATCTTTAATATACTATTATTGTTGGTAATGATTTTTATAAAAATATTTAGATTTTAATATATCTAATTTTTAATATATCACATTCACAATAATACATGATCTTTAATATACTATTATTGTTAAGAATGATTTTTATAGAAATATTTAAATTTGAGTATATATAATTTTTAATATATCACATTCAGAATAACACATGATCTTTAATATACTATTATCATTGGGAATGATTCTTATAGAAAAACGTAATGATGTTATGCAAAATCATTTGTATTTTGACTAATAATATGATTGATTTTCATGTAAATAATAAATTACAAAATCAAATGGAAATGATAATCAAACCGATAAAAGCCAACACTAGAGAATTATTTAAACTGTGAGTATGTTTCGGGATTTGGTGGAACTCGATGTAGGGAATTTCGAGAATAATGTGAGCATAGGAGTGTGACGTGCATGTTTGGCTCTCAAGATTTCTGCTATGGGGTGAACGAACGATTGATTGATCTTGGTGATTTCAAGAAACCGAAGCTCTTGGTGATTTCAAGATTTCTGCTTACGATTTCCGCTGTTGCGTCATTCTGGTCAAAGGATTCTGGCCGTCGGTCCTTGCATCATATTTATAGAACTTCGATTTCTCTTTCTCATCTTGGGTGTAAGAAACATAGCAACATTGAAAGATACATGCTCTCCGACTTGATCTTCGTTAAGTCATGCTCAAGGGTGAGGAATAGTGGCATTCAGGCAAAAAATGACACCGAGTGCCACTATTAGCGCTAGCCAGCGTGCCACTATTAAAGGGGTACTTGGCGCAACTCTATGAAGCGCGCCGGGAGAGTTTCATGCCGTCCGCGCACCATTTTCACCTCGATTGATTGTCTTCGGTTCTGAACGATGTCGGCACAGCGAACTACGCCATTTCAGAAAGGCCACGAGGAGATATACGGCCTCCACATGACAGATGTTGATCCCAAGACGAAATTGGTTCCGAGTGTTGTTTGTCGATTTTGTGAGATCTTTGAAAGAGAAAAACAACCAGGACGGAAGCGAAAGGCCACAAAAAATGCACAGTATTTCACAACGCCATTTAGGCCTGATTGCTACTGGAAGCATATCGAGACGCAACACCCATGCAAATGACAGCATTATCAAGCTGCTGACGACAAGGGAAGCTTTTTTGACAGGATAGTATCAATCAAGAACACTCTACTCAGCAACTTCCGGAAGTATAGTGCACCGCGTTTGTTTCAAATTGACGCAGAGATTGTCGACACGATCATTGGCTGCATGTATTTCGATGTTGACAATGAATCGGATTCGGATGAAAAAGCCGAGGAAGTGAAGACTGCTGTTTGCAGAGATGGTCGCCGTCGTCCAGACCTTACGCCTTAAAAAATCAAGAAGTGGGCTCTGAGTATTTTCGTTCCGGTCCAAGAGTTTTTTCCAAAGAGGAGTGCCTATGCTTCCGTTTCTGCATACGAGGTAGCGATCAAGAACGGCTATTTGTTTGATATGGTCATCGAGTTCAAGTTGCTTGGTTCTACATTTCGTCTCACCTCTTGCCTTGCTCAATCGACGTAGGAGCTCACTGCAATGGCTTGTAATTCTGGTTGCAACCGTTGCAAGGTCTCATCGTTTTTTCGAGTGATGTGCGCATCGAACCTGCAGATGCTTTCTGACATTCTTTCCAATTGCTGGGCCTTCTTGCTGGCAATGGATGGAGCTACACATCAAAGTACATCCTATCTGGACATTCGCGTTCGCTTCTAGACGGGCGACAACATCCACAATTTTCACTTGTTGGCTCTGCCAATGAACGAGCGTCACATGGGGAAATTGATGTTCGACATGGTTGTGAAGGTTTTGGATGTTATTCGTCCAGGCTGGAGACACTCCTTAATCGGCGTTGCGACTGATGGAGCGAGGAACATGATGGGACGTCACGTCGGTCTGCTTACATTCTTGGATGATGCCACTCGGCCCAATTTCATCAAGGTTTGGTGTGGTGCCCACCAGCTTAACCTTATCATGGCTGATGTTTATGACAACTTGCTCAAAGAAGATTTCTACTCTCATCTCGTTAGCCTTATTGGCTACCTGCGTCGCCAGCAGAATCAGATTGCTGATATGAAGACCATGTGCCCGAAGGTAGCTCTTACACGTTGGTTGTCCATGATCAAGGTCATGAGTTGGTTCAAAAAGCACAGAATCGCTGTACTTGCGTACTTGGACGATAAGCTCCCGCCATGTCGGCCATCCGCAGCCTGGTGGGTGCTTATGATGGTAGTACATTCTTTTGCACAAGAAACTTCACCAGTGTTCATGCGCCTCCAAGGAATGACGACTTGGTGTCCCATCAAGTGACTGAGCTATCCAACTTATCGCAAACGTTCTGCCGGCTGATGGGAGGCAAAGGTCCACTGCTTCAATCCGAGCTTCAGGCTATGACGGAGGCATCAGCTGGTTTTGGTGATCTCATCTCATCTAAGGAATTTGCGGCGCCACTCTCTAGCGTTGAGCAATTTGTTCGAGGTCTTGAAACATTCGTGTCATTGAAGCTCGACTGCTGAGCAAAATTGCGCCAATGAGCAAGCTGTGGCCAATGATCAGCTGCCACCGATAATGCCCCACGAGCTTGTTAAGTATGGGCGGTCTCAGTTTTGTGTCACTGTTCGCAAGCACATTCTACGATTGCAGGCAGCCAAGTTTACATCGCAGCAGATTGAAACCATCGAAGAAGAACACGAAGAGTTAATTAGATGCTATCATGCGGAGAACAACTTGCGATTAATCATCGATGCATGCAAGCACAGAACTTCGTTTATGGATGGTTGGGGTCTTCTTGGATCGTGGTTTCCAGCTTTGTTTGAATTTGCTGGAGGCTTGGCTTCGGTTTTTCCCGGCACTTCGACAGTGGAAGCAGATTTCTCGAGACTTAGACGCGAGAAAGATATTTTCAGGCAGAGTCTCTCTGAATTTGGGCTGGAGTGTGTCCTTCATGCTGACCAGCACAAACGGCTGCTCCAACTCCCGGCTGCCAAGAATTAACAGTTTGTCCGCTACACTCTAGTGTCACTAATAAAAATCTGGACATGCCATTATTAGCTTAATATTGGTAATAGTGGCAAATGCCACTATTACTCACCCCTGGTCATGCTACATCCCTCCTCGTGCTCTGGGCGCTTTTTTGGTGTTGCTTGAGTTCGCATAATAGAGGACAGTTTGAACCAGCAGTAGTCGCTTCTGCAAAAAGTACAGAGGTTTAAATATTTGATGGTTTCGACTTTATAAACCTTTTGATCACAATTGGCCATAAACCCTTACCAGCATTCTTGGTGAGTAAGAATCGCTCAAATATTTGATGGTTTCGACTTTATAAACCTTTTAATCACAATTGGCCATAAACCCTTACCAGCATTCTTGGTGAGTAAGAGTCGCTCAACCTTCATTATGAATCTTCCTTCCTTGTCATCACTTAAAAAAACAACTTCATAGTCTGCATCTAACAACCTTAAGTCATAACGTAAACTGATCTAAGGTTGGAGTTGAGTTGAGGTATTCCAGCTGTTCTTCTAAGCATGAGGAGCTTCCCGACATCGGTTTCCCGTTTGTTAGTGAAAGATGAAGGATTTCACAGACTTCATCACCTAAACGAAACACATCCAATGCTTCAATTACCAGATCATACCTTCAGACTTGCCATTACTTCGTTTGGCAGACGATAGAGATACCAACGCAGTTCGAATTATGTAAATCCCTCAATACTTTTTTCTATTATGTGCAAAGTACAAGCCATCAGAAAGGTATAACATAAGGAAAACCTCGACTCACAGAAAACGGGCAGTGGATAATTCTGGACAGATCCCTAAGACTGAAACAATGGAATGTACCATGAAGAAATTTCAAACTTCGCTTTCTAAATCGAAAGCGCATGAAAAGGCATTAGCAAATTTGTGGACAGGTTTGAGGCCCACAAGCTAAACATCACTTTCCCTAATCCTCATGGTGTCATCTTTATCCTCCTCACCTGACTGAAACTATTAATCTACATAATTTAAAATCAAAATTGCATGTCCTTCCGGATCAGTTGGATTGAAGCATTGTTCAAGATCCCACTGAGTGCTTCTAACGCACCATTATGAATCTATGGCTGTCATTGCTTGTAAAGAATGACCTTGAGAAAGCTGGACAGGACTCTAATAGTCCAGTATCAAGAAATTGCGCTTACACAACAGAACGGAAAGCTATCATCGGGTCAATGTCGCTGGCGTACCAAGAAAAGCAAGAACTTAGAACGAAAACCAAAGATCCTCTTCTTTGAGGGGCATTGGTTAGATCCTCCTGTTGGATCAAACGCCAATTCCGACGAGATCTACAATCTGTGCAATAGCTCCAATCTCGTCTGAAGTCTGGGCGACGTCATAAATAACTGATTGTTACTTCGATCAGGTACTTCCCGTTTGTTGTGAAAGTGAATTTTAATGTACAGTATCTGCTTTTGATGATCAGTTCAAATGCATCCGCTTCTTCATCTCCTCATAAACCACGTACGTGATACTAGCAGCAGGTACAACTTTCAATAAGTTTGGGAACAGCCCTTTGTAGAAGCCCTTTAAGCCCTCTCTTCTGAAAGTTTTCTGAAAGACATCAATCATGCCCGTGTACTGCACCTCTGAGCCACGGTGTTGAGCTTGCATTCTGGAGTAACATGACGAACAAGACGTAGGCAGAAGTCAACAATTTTGCAATAAACTCGGAAAGTCTAGTTTGAGAGATAGAGAACAGGCTGCTAGAGAACCACACCATAATGTCAACAACTAATGCAATCGAAAGACTTACAGCGTGTAAAATGAAGCAGAAGATACCCATCATTGCCTAACTAGAACCAAACATAACGCACTAGAAGAGTTCCCACACCTTGTCCTCACAAGTTGCAAGGGATACACAAAGCTGGCACCTACGGCTCCAGAAACTGTACCGCAAGTCAGTTGTATCATGGGGCCTGGATCTGCATTTTCCCACATTCAACAAAAATGTGCCCACAATCACGCCTCATATCCACCACAAGGAGACGGGAAGCCTGATCACAACTGATACAGATGAAAGCAAAACACACAGAGGGAGACGTTTGATCGTGAAAATAGGCTAGGAGTTCAGCCTGAACAGCCCATTCTTGAGCTCAGCCTTGTCCAAAATTGACCTCGGGTAAGGGATGGAGGGCAGAACATCTCCACGCAGCATTGTGAGAACATTGAGAAGAAGTTGAAAGAAAAGCATTATAGAAGTTAGGCTTCCACTTACCAGTGTCCTTTGGCAAGAATTGACGTGTCCAGTCTCTCAACGTTTCGTAAGCAGCCAAGTCGATGCCGGCATAAGGAACCATTCCTAACAAAGATGGAACGAGGCCCCGATAAAATGCACGGGGGCCTTCATGGATCCAAATGTCCCGCGATAGAGCTGCCAGTGTCGGAGGTTTACCAGCTTCACATGCGAAGGTTTGTAACCGGGTCTTAACCAGGTCCATCGGGTAAATTGCTGTTTGCGCTACTGCTCCAGCACAACCACCAGCCACGAGACGTCCTAAAGGTCCAATTTCATTCCTATCTCCGCTTTCGTCGAAGCCAACGACGTAGTCCTTCATCATCTCAAAGGCGTAGAACTTGATTGCAGACTCTGGAGCTACTTTCAAAACGTTGATACCATTTCCGCGGAAGAAGGCAAGCACACCTCCTTGTTGATACATTTGCGACAATCCACCGATCACTCCCCTCTTTGTAGGAGTATCAATCTGGACCTGCAGGAGAACCTTAAGACGGTCTAAGGGGGCAGTAGCTGTTCTTGAAATGGCTCCTGCGACTCCTCCGGCGAGCAGATATTTATACGCATGCAAATATCTGCTGATGCCCTCTGGAATGACGGCTTGTTCGCCTATGTCAACAATGCACACCTTCTCCCAGTACTGGTAAATGCTCTTCATTGTGACTTCGTGGGGAAACAGAAGCAAAAAATCACGCCACTCTGCGAAAGATATGACTCCATTTCTGTCTTTGTCGATGTGATCCACAAAACACTGCAATTCGTCGTCACTCACATCGATCCCTGCAGGCAGAATGACTCAAGTTCAGGGTTTACGGATATGAATTATGAAAGATCTGGACAGCGTTCAGTAAAGAACTGAAAATGTTAGATCAAGAGCAATGTATGTTAAAACTGGCTTTCGTATCTTGAACAGTTTCAGAAACTCAAGATTGGATGGAGCAATATTTGCTGATAAACACATAGCTCTGGAGTCCAGCATTTTGACATTTCATTCTCAAAATAATTTGGAAATCTCTGATCATGGACACTTTGTTGAAAAATCTCAACTTCATTCCATGTGAAAATATCAAGATCGCCATGGTTGAGTCATCAGGTCATGAAGAACGACGAGCTCCATTTAAATCGACATTTTATCGTTGAGTCTAAATCGAGCGTCATAGAGGATAATACGCATGTGACAGAGTATAGAGCGAGGTGGTACAGATGAGCCCGAAAATATATAATTAACAGAAACTATTTTCCAAACCATGAAACTGTCATAAATGAGAGAATTACGAACTCTAGGATGTACCGGACAATGAATTTTTTAATTTTTGTTGCCCCGTCTAGAAAAGAAATTTACTCCCTTCTCCGTCTATGCAATCAAGATCTAAAAGAAGAGCTAGCAAACTTGATTTTGGGTCGAAGGGCTCAAAATTCTGTAGGTGAATTATCCACTGTAAAAGAAATCAAACATCGTGAAGCTCCGAACAGTGAATGCTTCAAGCTCGTGTTACTGGTTAATCGCTCATGGTTCGTATAGGATTGGACTAATTCCTATAGAAGTCCTGACTCTTATATCGGCAGTGGCTAAATTAGAACCAACTTTCACGGAAAGTTTGGCTTATCAGAATGGAAGGAAAAGCCCAGAGCATTTCTGGATTCACTGCATTCTTAGATTATGGCTGCCGCCGGGAATTCGTTCAAACTCTTGAATAGCTGCGATTTCCGACAAAAGGTAGGGCAGGATCCCATAAACTGACAAACAATACGAGCGGAGAACAAAGAACACAGTACCGGCTCGAAGCAAAGCTTCACCAAGCTCCTCCAGCTGCAGAACACCGTTGTGTTTCACGTCAATCTCCCGGAACATCTGATACAGTTCCAATTCCTTGGCATCCATATACTTTTTGAACTCGTCGAAGTCGACTTGACCATCACGGTTGGAATCGCAAACGTTGAGTAGATCAGCTGCATACTTGTACTGATAAGGTATAGAGAACGTCTGGAACCCATCCTTGATGAGCTTCTGATCCAAGTATCCACTCTTCTCCGTGTCAAAACGATCGAACAGGCTTCGGATCCTCTGGTCCCTCTGTCCCTTGCTCTCCTGCAGTGCCTGCTCGACGTCTCTTAAATCGGCCCTACTCGCCTCCGATGCTTCATAAGATTGCGACGCTGCTTCTCTACGTTGCGTTGATTCGGAATTTGTTTCACCGCTGGTTTTGCTCGCTGTTTCACTGACCTCAGCTGCTGTACCTGTCATATCTTCTTCGCTGCACGCGACCTCAACCTCCCCCGAAGAGAACAGATGCGCCCCGCACCCACTCTCGAAAAATTTCCAGACAATCCCCAAGCCGATCCCACCACCAAAACCAGACGAATCCGTCTCGCAGAAACCAAAACTCTATACAATTCTGCTATGGATGCAGCCAGGACAGAGCCGCGGGGCTCGACCGCACCGCATCCACAAGGAACGCGACCGAATTCCGCTTGGATGTAGTCACAGCAACGACGAGTGCAGCAGCAGCAGGTGCCTGCGTATCACTCCATGCTCCTGCTAGGCCCGCCAAGCACCTGCACGCGCATCTTTCGAATCTGTCTTCTATCTGCGAACTCCCGTTGCCGATCGAAGACAGAGAGTTGTCCGGTCCCCCGTCTGCCCTATCACCTCCTCCCCCGGGTCCTTCGGCCAGCGAATAAACAAAACATAATGCGTCAAAAAGTCTTCTCCATTCGCAAGCGGACAACGACACGAGCTCCCACTCTCGGCTCTCGCTGGAGGCGAATTTAGCGACCGCGCCCCATCGCAAGCAGCGCAATCGGCATCAGATAGACTGCCATACCCGAACACTCGTCCCCATTCAGGAAAATCCCGCGGAATAAGCGCTCCGAATGATATGATCGATCCACCCCCACCCTGTGACCCGCCCCGGATTCTCTCTCGATCGATCTCTCAAATCTATCGTTCTCGCTCTCGTCTCACCTCACCTCACCTCACCTCATGCCATCCATCCTCCCCTCCCCCGGCCCTCTTCCCTCTCGTCCGTGGCTGCGCCGAATCGCTCAGAGGGTCGAGGGTCGAGGGTCGAGGATCGAGGAGACCGCATTCGGTGATCGATCGGTCGACCAGCGCAGCGCCCAGCAAGAAGCGAGAGCCCCCGGGGCCCCGAGCACGAGCGGAAGCTGCTCCGCCATGGCTACCGCCCGCTGCTGGCCGGGCGCCCGGCACGCTCCTCGCTCACTCCCTCGCTTGTGCGTCACCTGTCACCTGTCACCTGTCACCGGAGAGCCGACGGATGATCCCGGGACACACTCACGTACATGCTCCCGTACGTCTCTTTACCATTCACGGCCGGGAAGTGCTCGGAGAAGGCGAGGCGAGGCGACCGTCGATCGGCCCACGTCTTCGCCATTGACGGTCATCGGTGATCGGTGCAGGCCCGTCTATATTTCTCTCGATGGCTCTCGTCCGGTCGATGGAATGCGGCCGGTGCCGGAGGATTCATTTTCTCGGTCGGTGCCCGACTTTCTTCTTCTCGGTCGCCGTCATGTTCTCGTTCAGCGGCTCGTTGCATATTTCTGTCCGTCCAGGGGTTCCACCGGTGCACGCGACGTGGCAGTCGCCTGACACGCCTGGACTTTGCCGGTCGGATCAACCAATGAGGGATACCGAAATTAACACGTGGCAGTGCTTTTCACGCTGTCCGTCCACGAAAGTGTCCGATTGCCAGTATTGCCGGATTCCGCTGGCTTCCGATAATATCCTCTCTGGGAGGAAAGTTTTTGCACCCGATTTATTTCAAGTCACCCAGAAATAAAATAAAAATACTTCAGCTAATTCCTGACACAGTGATTTATGCTTCCCACTTGCCCATATTTACTTTGCGGATACCGTAAGAACTTAATTGAGGGTCTCCTGCGGTACTTCGTTAAATAGAAGGGGTCTGAACGGGAACCGCTGAACCTAAGCTCAAGAAATATAAATGGAATATCACACTATCGAAGAAGTTGCCTTTAATGTACTGCGCACGTGGTCCTATACTCCCCCCGTTTCCCATATCACTGTGAAGAGTACTTCATTCCGGATTCTTTCAATTTAAGCCCCTCTGATAATTCCTCGGTACCATCAATGACTAGGTTGATATGGAATTGTACATCTGAAGCAGCGTATCCGAAAATTCTGACGATGACGCAAGAAGAATTAAGACGGTGGGCTGGTCTCTCTTTTAATAAAAAGAAATAATGAATAGTATGATGTAGGAGACATAAAACCAATGACTTTAAATAGGAGTACTCCGAGTAATTGTATACATGATGTCAATATCTACATATGCGTATCTTATACAGAGCCAATGCATGTTCACCTCAAAACTCCATAATAGTGCTGAGAGCATAAACCAATTATTGCGTTGTGCAATCTGACCCGTTTCTTCATTGCACTGCACCAATGACGGAAAGGAGTGCTCCCTGGGACTCTAGGGAAAAAAAGGGCACGTTTTAGTTTGATGCTGCGGGACGTACCTCGGAGCAATGAAATTTATTTTCCGGGTGGGCGTGTCGCATGCAGCCATCTTAGCACTGGACCTTGGGAGAAGCCTTTGAATTTTCTTGAGGCCACCCTCAAAAGCTGTGATAAAACTGACGAATCTGGACAACAAAACCTAGAAGGACGACTAAGTGACTGATAAATCAGGTCCTCTGCCTGGGGAGCATACTATTCAGAGGTCTGAGTACAGATACTGTAGCTCATGTACTCAGATCCAAAAAGAATCACAAGCTTTATCTGGAATAGAGTTCAAAATACATGCTCAATTGAATTTCTTGATTCTTAGATTGCATGTAAATTATGTAATGGACTGATAAAGATTTTACGTCGACAATTGGAATAAACCCTTGATAGATCTCTCTATTTACGTGTGTGGAAGCTCCGGTGTGATGGGATCGTTGTAGGAATATAATTTTGCGTGGCATCAGGTGAGACTTTGCTAAATGCACGGTGTGTACTTGTCAATTTAGTTAGTAAAAGCTCCACCAGATTGTCAACCACGGAGAATATTCTTGGATTCTTTGTCCAAGTATCCAAGTTCTTAAGCCCTAAATGTCTTAAATAATGTATCAAAGTCAACTCGTTAGCATCCACACCTGGGAAACTACCGTCAAACACTGGAAAAATGATTTTAAGTCGAATAAAATAGCAATCGTCATCCACACGTGCGAACCTACCGTGAAACACTGGGGTCTAAATTTCAGTCTTGAAAGATTGAGTTCTCAAAAACAAGGATATCATTCTAGAACGGTGTAGCGACCTCGAAGGTCTCCATCTGTCTACGTGTCATGTAACAGTCATGAGTCTAGCTTACTCTAATTAAATCAATTGTCACATTATACAGTACTTGTAACATCATAAACCCTCATATCGTAGAATTTTCAAATACATTTAATCAATACTTTTGACTCAATCTAGAGTTTTGATTCTGGTACCCACAAATGTTCTCTACCATGAGAGAGTTGGACTTTCTCTCGCGGAAGTGTGCACGTCATTAATAGTACAGGCGGATGGAGCTCATATACCATTCTACTTTTGCATTCAGTACTTTCGAAGTAGACGAAGTAATTTGAGTCCAATCGAGTTTATTCCTACTGAATCTTTCATGACTTTTTCAGTTTATTATCTTTTCTGTACAGTTGGTTAGTTTTTTCGCTGTAAGAAGTCTAAAAGATGAACCAGATTCTTATGGACAATTGTAACAACACACTAAACCAGTGACACCAATCAGTGAAGGTCAAGGATCTGCGTGTATGATTGAAGCGTAGTAAGAATCAACGTCTAATGCAGGACCATACTTCGGCGTGATACGCTTGGATATTTTTTTATACTCTTTTCAGATCGCGCAAGAATTGCAGCAGATGATTTGCATTATGTTCAAGACGACATATCTCAATTCCTGTCAGTAGAATGTCACATGAATGTGTCAGCTTAAGAAAGTTGATCGAATTAGTAAAGAAGGCGAGAGATGTGTGAGTCGCAGTACAGAATATTAACTCATGACCAAGTCCCTGTACCCATAATCAGCCATAGTCGTGTTGTGCAGTATGTTTATACTCCGAATGAAATCGGTATCACATACGGCAATAATTGTACCATTCGTTTCTTTTTTGGAGATTTTTCTATGACGGGCCGAGTTTCTTGTAGATAATCCTGTATTTCTGACACGGAAAATTTTCTTAAGCATTCGAGTCTCTTGTTTGATGTGACAAATACGTCTTAACATACTGTGGATGAAATTTGTCACTGTCAAGAATGTCGTAGCTCCATTTATTACAGAGTCTGATAGTCGACAAGAGTCAACTTTTTCCGTAGACCTTTAGATTATTCGATTCCATATTGTTCTTTTGACATACACTGATGTTTCGGACTAGATTACCAAGTTTCTAGATGGAATTTTCATTCTCTAGGATCCTGTGAGAGCAAGATCCCGATCTTCGGACGCGAGTTTTTAACTTCAGATTGTATAATAAAGGTGTCATGAATGTATCACTCCTGGGTTTCTGGTGACGATAATGTTTCATCAGAGCCAAGTCCCAAGTGCTGTCTTCCAACAGGACAAATATCCTAAGGAGATAAGTACTTGCGAAGCTTTGCTCGCGGTCATTGGAACATTGGAACATGGATTCTACATCCTGGAATCGGGACCTATTTTTATATCTCATCATACAGTCTCAGAAAGTGACACAAGCACAGAAACTTGTCCTGCAAGATTTCAGATTCCTACTCAGAGCAAATACATTACATTACTCGACATGAAAATACGGAATCAACCACAGTCAAAACGATGAAAGCCAAGAGTCGAGGATTTCTCAAACTGTGAGCTACTTGGATGAGAACGCCAGTGTCTACCCTTCTTGTGATTGGGCGGAGCACTTACATTTTGTAGTAGCCATTTACATTTTTATGTATATATGGATGATTACATATTACCACCGATTGGGACTTTTGTCTGATGAACCTCCGCTGCATGTTTTCATAGGGCTGATAAACGCTTCTACTTACATCATTGCTGCAATATCACCTTATCTTTGATGTACCATGTTAATATACATCGACCAGAGTCTAAGCTGTCCAAGAACTTACTTAGCTCCTCCAACTTCTCCACAATTTGTAACTCCTGTAGGGCTTGTTGAACCCTGAGTTTCCAGGAGATTTAACCTCTCCATTGCTCAGTCAGCTCCCAGATGTATGACGAACACTAACAAACCCAACCGTCTAGGGTGCTGAGCTCGTATAAAATAGAAATGCAACATACGGTATTTTTGCAAACTTACACGAAGCTGATAATGTACGAACATTTCCAACCGATTAATTTATTTCGATTCATTCGAATCGCCAATATACAATGTCTACACAAATTCGTGATAAGCCACGAAAATGTCCATCTATTCTCTATTGCCGAGGGTCACTTTCATTCCAGTGAATTGATTACATATGGAAACGATGTAATCTGTCTGATCTCTGTAAATTACAAACTGAAACTTCTGCGTAACATTCTGCCTTACTAGAAGTTCCGTAGTAGCACAATATCTTGAATAGTCATTGTGTGACAGATGTTTTGGGCACGAGGAATATGTACAGATTACAAAATTCTAAAGCGGTTTTTGGCATCAATCCTCCGTTAGCTCATACTGACGAGTCGAAAGCTGTTACATGATAGATACCGACCTCGTAAAAAGCACTAGCAGCCCTCTGACAATCCAGAAGTCTTGTATCCAACTTAGAGATTGAACTCTCTCGCTTCATTTCTCCTCAGCCAAAATAGTAGACTTCTTCGAAAGGAATTGGGGGCCTGCAAAAATATAACAAACGGAGCAGCTCAATACCAGCACTTTTAACACTATCTGATTTTCTTCTATCACTGTAAATATGGTATATTGTAACAGAAATATAAGTATATTAAGAGATCAATAAGCACAGCGTGTGTATTACCCCCTTCCCACTAAAGCGATACTCTGTACTAGTTCAATCGCCCTCCTTTACTTCAAACTTTGAACTCTACGCAGTTATTTGAAACACGTCTCTTCTTTTCCCCAGACTATTTCCATCTGCTGAATTGCGCAAGCTTTGAATTGTATAAGTCGAACTTGAGAATCCTAGAATTCAGTGACGATTGAGAAACTGCATGCTTAGGAATGCTCGAAAGCTGTGCGGTACGCTTACGGAATTTTGCCGAGGAACACTGGCTGGTAGTTGTTGACAAGTAGATTATTTACTTCATCCTGTGAAGATGGAGCGTGCGATGACTTTCGCGCTTCACTGCAATCGTTGAGTCAAACATACTTTTAGTGCAGTCCCTGTCTGAAGAAAAAGAGAACTAAAACAGAGGGATCGTTTCTGCACATTTTGCACAATGAAGAGACTTAATTCATAGTGAGTACCTGATAAAATAGTCTGCGATGCTCTGAGAAAGCTGGATGGCAGCCGCGCTGTGTGGTATGGTGTTGTAGGTCCATTCGAACATATTTTTCTGTCGAAAAAATCAAATCTCTTCTGAGTTAGCTGAATGTTCATGTCACAAGACTTGTGTGTGTACCCAGTTGTTCTTTCAAATTTCAGATGTTCTACGTCTTACTATCTTTTACATGCATTCGATACAGAAGATGATGTTTCCATCCGTATAAAGAGAACAATTAATGCTCATGAGAAGCATCAACTACATGTTGTGAAAAACATCGAACGGATTGCCAATGGATCCCAACTCATTTCAATCTTGTCCACGAGTTCAATAACTATCAAGGCCTCCGCAAAAGTCCTCACAAAACGGTAATCTCAAAAATTTCTATACCTCAGGATGGAACATGGTGGCTGTTACTGGATATTTCTTGCCTTGAACGGAAGAAACGTACATCTGTTTCATAAACACGTGATTTTTTAGAACCTTAACTCAAAACAGAAAATGGTTCTAGCATGTGCCCCAATAGCTTGGGGTTGAATGATACGAAGATCTAAATAACCATGTCGAATTCGAAGTTACGAGGGAGGTACGCTTACCTGCCCGTAGTCGTCAGGACTGAGAGTGAGCACCTCAAAGAAATCTGCGAGAGGTTTCGTGGAGGCAAATGTTGCAGGTGTGATGCCCATCTGTCAACAGAGTCCACAACATATCAGCTCCACGTATGGTGAGAGGCTTTCCGACAGGCCTCTACTTTAAAATTTCCAATCAAATTGGCTTCACACCTCATGATCCAGTAACAGATGAAGAGACACGATTGCAACAACTCACCTTGTGGTTCATTATCGTCAAAGGAACAGTTGGTATCTTCTCCAGAACATCCTCCGGAACCCTGAGGAAAGTGCCATGCAAATGAGTACGGTAGCGTTGAACGCAGTGCAGCGTCCATGGTGACACTTGAGTTTGAAACATCCAAACTTCGTGTCGCTAACTCGACACACTAATAAAGTGGACAGCGCAGTCAATCCCCATCAGCAATTACGAGATTCTCTTCCGAAACTGAACATTTGAGTAATCAGAACCCTCGATAATCCAATATCAGAGTGCCTTGTTACAACATCCGGGAGGCACAAGTTTCAGATCTCTATCACAAGTTAATTGCGGCATGTTGAGATTTTCAACTCTTGCTAGCCTTTGACGGTTAAGAGAGACTCCAGTTCCTCTTCATATTCACAATTCAACAAGAACTTTATCTCTTGAAGTTGGTACGCTTCAAAAGTCACGAGCTCTCACATTTACATATAATTGTCTGCCTTTAGAGCTCGATGTACAGTCAATCCCATTGGCTTGACAAGTCAAGCCAATGGGATTGACTTGTGAATCAGATAATTTTTATGTTGTTCCTTCAATCTATGGAATTCATGATGTAGTAGGAAAAAAGTTTGAAATCAGATTACAGTCCACTCTCTCTTACTCTAACCGGGATAGTGCAACATTCCAGAGGGGTTTATCCGAAAACTTGAATGGTGAAGAGTTATCAGTAGGACCCCCTGACAGATTACGAGCAGGCAAAGATTTGTATCCACAAATCAGCGACATCATTACTTTTATCCGGATCTCTACACTTTAGAAAAGTCACAACCAGAACGGCAAACCAATAGCGGAATCCGCACCGGCGCTGTCCAAAGATATAAATCAAATGATCCATCATATCATTCAAGTAAACACCTAGATTCGCAAGCATGAGTGTTACAACCAGAAAACATTACTTGGACCAGGGCTTAGTGCAATTCTACAGATCTGCTGAACGGATTGTAACTCAATTGTTACTCCCAACGAACACCTTGCGAAGTTCATGAGTTTCTATTTTAATTTTAAATATCTAGGGGAAAGATAAAATAGAATTATTCACGATAATGGTCACTCAAATATTAAATCATCTCATTCTTAAATAGTTATGAATTGCACGAATAACGTGTCTATCAAATATAGAAATGAGGTACCTGGTCAATTTTGAGTTCCAAAACGTTTAATGACCTAGAGTGAAACATACTATGGAATAGTATACACTATAGTAGCCCGGAAGTATCCGCAAAGAGTCTTGGTGGATTTTAACGATCTCCGGAACCGGTTCGAATTCGGCCAAGAATTACAGAGAGCAAAAGGACTTGGCCTTTACCGGTTATTTCTGAAGCTCTGCAACTATTGCGAATGGACAATCTACTGAATGATTTGACACAAATGAAAAAAGAAGAAGCAAATTTTAAATCGGAAGGTGTAATTATTGGCACAACAATTCTCCACGTAACTGTAGCCCTCTCGTCAGTCACCCGTTTAAGAATAAGTACCACGTTTTATTCATGGCATGGGTCGGTCCTACTCCCTTATCTAAAGTCAGGTTCCTCCTCCCACTAGAGAAAGTGGGGAACTGAATCAAGGCATCCTCTAGAAGGAAAAGTGTTTCGCACTGCACGAGATGTTCAAGAAACTCTGAACGGGCGATCAAGCAAACTCATCCGATCAGCAGAATTTCAAGAAGGTGGGCTTACCATTTGAAGAAGCTCTTGCTTTTCTTGCTCTCGTCGATGAACTGAAGGGTGGCGGGCGTCTTCTTGGCAATGCAGCTCTCCATCATATTACGCTGCGTTCGGACAAACAATCACGTCCCGTTCTATTACGCTTGGACAGGCACATTCTGGGCTATTGAGAGGCATCTCGAATTCCAGGAAATGCGCTACGTCATCAGCTTGCTCAGCTTTGAGGCAATTTAGAAATCAGGCCAGACTGCCGCCTCTTGGGCAGAAGGAGGAAACAGCAAAACGTCGAGACAAGAAAGAAAATGTTTGCACGCTTCGAATTGTAACGGTACGAATCGAGGAACCAAATTTACGCCGCCAGAGCATCCGATACTATCCTTTTAGACAGACATACATCGTCCGAGCCTCTATGTGACTGGTGGACCTCAACAACCGGAAAAAGAACCATGTCCACTTCTGGAGACAGCTTGGGCGATTTTGAGGGTCGGGAACGTGAAATCGCACCTGCGCGATGACATTCGCTAGCACCTCCATTCCCAGGCAAGTTCCATGCACGGGGAAGTAGTCGCCTTTGTCGTTGGCCTCGATCGCCCACTGATCACAAAACGATACGTTCAGCTCCAATTTCTAATTCCTCAAACCACTGATTGAAAAATCAGACATCTTTTCAAGGCCAGTAAGAATCCTGAGACACTGAACACTTACGTCCAATAATAGCTTCACGGTGTCCAAAAAGGGTCCTCCATCCATGTTGGTATCCCCGCCGGGAAGAAGAAGTCCATTGATTACAGAAAATTTCTGCACAGCCAGCAAGCAAATCACAAGATGAGAAACCTGCAATTGAGCCTGATCATAGCACGAGTGTCACGTCCGACGGCCTCTGGAAGCGCCCCTACTTCTCCGATCTGAGTTGAGCAAAATCAAACCAGCGCAGTGGAGTGCGACGGTGTGGGTTATGTCACGTCGAGATTCTGTACTTTTTTTCAATGTCGAGAAGAGTAATTATGCACAGCAAGCGCGAAGCGATTGAGATGGGTGGACGGTCATCGATACGGACCCGGCGCAGCGACTCCACGGGCTCGTTGTGCAGGAGAGGAACGGCGCGTGCCCCACCGGACTCGACGAATTTCACGTACGATGCAGCGATATAAGACATTCCAGGATGGTACGTGCCGAAGCCGCCGATCATGTCGTCCATTTCGCCCGTGAGAATTCCTATCAGCGGCTGCGTGGCGCGAACGACGCTGCCATCGTCGAAGCCCAGCCTTTCGCTCGGCATTCGAATTCGTCCACCAAAAACCGTGTCATGTAGAAAGATCTGCGACACCAGAACCAGCAGCAACACTCTGCATGGGCTCACGGACGAGCGCTCCATCCTGTTCCTTCTCTACGAGCTTTTTCTTCTTCTTCTTCTTCTGGGCTCGCTCGTCTCGATCGAATTCGACAGTCCTTTTAATTATGATCGACGAGAGCTTCGACTGTCAGAGACGGCGCAAATCATCGGACGTGGCGCTCGACAATCCTCGACAGCTCGAGCCCCGGCCAGAGCACTAGCGGGTGCCAATAAATACAAGCGTAAGTTTCTGCAACTTTCAGAACCCAACCGCGTGCATCATGAGTAGGGTTCATTCATCATCGAGCCGTGCCTCAAGGCCAAGATGCGGGCCTCTGGTGTAAAATTCGAGACACGAAGACGACCGAATATTTATCGAAGAGATTAAAGATAAAACTGAGAATCGACAGCGTGAAAAAATAATCATCGATTACATAACATGATGAGCAGAATGAATATGTGGCTGCTCTGCATTGTTCACCAATATTAAAGTATCCTCGAGCCTTTTTGTTTGCAAGTGGGACTACTTTAAATTAGTTGCGATACAGATGAACGCGGTGGTTGTTCTTATCTCGCAGAATCACGTCTATGGCACCGACTAGTCCGAGTCTAAATAATGAAAAAATTTCTTCTTACGTAAGAGCTGACTGTGCTCTTTATTCTTGTACAAGGCTCCATGCTCCACCGGTATTTCTCGACCAGGACGAAATGAACGAGCGGCCAAATTTGTTTCCTTTTTGTCATATGGTCTCCTCCCTTCTTCAGTACGAAAGGATGATTCCCACGTAACGTCCATTGCATGAAATATCGGGTTCAAGGTTGGGTCCAGATGCTTGTTTGAAACTTACCCAAATTGGATCTAATAATTTGGTCTAGAGTTACGAAACCGAATATTTTGGTCAGAAGGATAGGAGGACTTATCGAGAAGAATTTCGGGGATGGAACAGAGTAGTAACATGGGGCTAGACATGAATAATATTGCAAAAATAACAGGTTGTATTGCATCCAATACATTTAACATTGGTCAAATATTCAATGTATTACAAAAGCAGACCACAAATCATCAACCTTCGGTATTCATTGCATGTGGTTTTATTTTTATTTTTCTTTATTTTCTATATTTTCAACACTTGCTGGTGCATATTTTCCACACACCAAAATTAATCTGAAGGTGTTGACTAAAGTTGTGTATATGTTAAGTCAAACAATAAATAACACAGGAGCCTCTACCAGATCAACTTCACCGAATTGATGGTGTGATTATTTTATGTTGAAGGGCTCGATTTATTGTCTTTTAATGGATAGCAAGTCATATCAATCAATCAAGTCAATTCAATATTGTTCGTACATGTGAACACAACGGAAGATCTTTTGAAATAACATATAGTATGGATATCCTATATCAAAGGTAGAAAGGGTGCAACCAAATGGATGACAAGGGTTAGATACCATCGACATTACAATGCACAATGTATAATATAACCTAAGGTATCATTACTATAAAAAATAAAGGGTTTTGAAATAATATGGATTAAAAAATTCGACTTTAGATTACAACAGCTAATATTAATTGTAAAATAATTAAAAGAAGTTACTCATTATAGACACTTAACAAACTAAAGAGAGTGGATAACAACCCTAACATGAGAAAGATTTACTACTCCAGTATGATAGACTCCTGTGAGCATTCTCTTATATTGATGTGTGTTTATCTTGCTCCACTCTCACTCCATTTAAGAGTGTAATTGCACAGTTTCTAAATTAAAACAATGATCACCAGTAGAGACATTAGAGACATTACATGCTTAAATATGCGTTGACCTGCGAAGAAGGCGAAGGTGAATAATCCACACACTCTACAGGCATATCAAACTTCACATACACACTAACATAACAGTCACTTAGTAAGTCATACACAGTGACGTCACAATGACCTTTGGTCTTTATTAACGAAATGGAGCATGGGAAAAGTGCTCGTGGAAAAGTGGTACAGAGCACATTATATGTAATGTGAACGCCTTTGCTGACAGACTATATTCGCGTGATCTCGCTCGCCATGTCTCATGCGATTGCCGCAATCCTAAATTCCTGGAGACGTCGCCATGTAGCGGGCATGGATCGTCTGGACGAAGTTGCCGTGTCCGACCAATCGGCTCGTTCGGCATGCCTTATCATCTACTGCCGAGGATGTGCCCGAAGAACCTCGCAGGCGAATCAAGCTCCTCTTCTGCAGCTCGAGCAGCTTTAACCCGTTTTCTGCTTCAGAAAAAATTTCAAGATTTGCAGAGAGCTGATGGTGACGCTCGACCCTCGATGCTGCGCTGTGCTGTGTCCACTGTCCCACCGATCTGCAAGAACAGTGTATCGTGCACACATCCTTCACGGTGAGAAAACTCTGGCACACCAATTTGAGTTTCTCCACCGACCGAATTTTGATGCTTGTGATTCCGATTATTACAAATATGTTGATTAGAAGTCTTAACAGATTCCAACACAGCATGCCACCCGGGCAGATATCGACAGGTTTGATACCTGTTTCTGCCTACACGTCACTATAATATTCAAATTATAAATTATTATTTAACTCTATGTTTTCGTACCGGCGGCTGACTATTATAACTAATGGCTCCCCTGCCGTCCGCTAGTCTTCGTCGCAGCACCAACAAACAATGGGACCGCGGTCCCATTTCAGATCGTGAGTCGACTCACCTGGTTTCTGCCACCGTCATCGAATTTGCGTCGTAGGCTTACGAACCAGCAGGGATGCCACGCCAGCTACCAGCTGACGTAGCCATTCCAGCATTATTGGAGCTTCGACGACGACCTCGTTGTGGCTACTCTCTTCTCTGCTGTCCTTCTATCCGTCGTTCCCGGGGTTCGGGAAACGATGTGCGCCAACAAGACGTGCTCGCTATGCGCCTCCGAGTAAAATATTGCATGCCGTAGACTCCCAATTATTCGAAACGGTAGAATCAAATCACGCACACACTAAAGGTCATATTCCCTCCCTGGCTCGTGAGGGCACCGACCCACCGGCCGCTGCTCGTGTCCGAACAATCCAAACTTCCGTTCTGTGACTTAGTTGTGACAAGTGGCACAGCTCAGTCATTTTATTAACTGTCGTCGTGAAGGGCGAGCCCACAGTAGTTGACGTGAAGTTGGGTGATGTTGAAACCATAAGTGACATAATCTAAAAGTTGTTCAGAAATAAATTAATAGTATACATAGCGATGCAAAACATCATAACATTACAGATGCTTGCTACAGTTACAGAAGTTCCAATGAACCATATAGCTGGAGATGGGTATTACTCCTTACCGCTAATAATATGGCAGGTTGACAATATGAAGTTCAGATTCTAATTGGCATCCGTCTCTAGCGGTGGATCTCAATAATCATCACATTGCAAATAATGTGTTAATTGACACGTGTAATAGAAATCTATAGAAGATTTTTAAAAGAACTAAATATAAAGTTACCTTTACTCAAGAACTCAAAGGTGATCGAAAGGACAACTGTATAGAATGGGAAAGTAGTAGAGATAGAAATAGCGAATACATTAAGTTAAAATCAATTGACAATTGAAGCTTTTCTGACTGATTTTCATATCGATCTGGTTAAGTTCTATATACATACAAATGATGAAGATTTGTGTACATATTCAAGTCGAAATATTGGGTAACTATAACTTTTAGAATGAATAAAGTATACCAACATTCTTAAATATAGATCAATGGATTGTGACATATTATGTTTTGAGTAAACAATAATTTGAGCCCAGTTTGAGACGGTTAAGAAGCTCGTCCTCTGAAAGACGGCCAAAAATTCATTTGGCCGTCACATAGCTTTGTACAAATACCAATACATATTAGATATTAAGCGAGAGGTCCAGTAGCACGGCTAGAGACTGACTCTGGTTGCGAATCTGATTGCGAGATAGACCTCTGTCTGGACCATACCGTTTTATCGAACATCGGGTTATGGATCATTTGCATTTTGCATTTGGACTGAATAGAATCTTCGGATTAGCTGAATGCCCTGTGTGTGTTCAGGATATCGGGTTAGACTTTCTATCTTCGAGTAACTTTTGTTCTACAATATCCGATATGGAAAGGCAGTGAAATATTGATCCAAAATCCAAAAGTGATTTAGTTCAGGTCCAAAATTTTGATAAGATCCACTCACCTGAAATAAAATTATTAAAGCCAAGCTGGAAGTCTCCACCGACCACTTTTTGCTTCCATTATACCCACAGAAGGCATCCACATATCAGGAGCAAAACCTGAGGACTGAAACTTAGTATTGTAGCCAGCTTGAAAAGTCCTGTTTTAGAGCAATGTCGTCTTTGCAAAGTTCAGAATTCTAGAGATACTATGTCGTCTGCAGTGGTATCCCCATCTATGTGAATTAAATGCTCGAAAACATTGGCGGAGGATGGTGTGGTTCACACGTGCAGGTTCCTGCAACAAGCAAATAAACAATCATTAGCGGTATTTACACCGGAGGAACACGTGGGAATATTAGACAAAGGTGCCCGAATGCTGAGTATCTGAAAATTCTTATTTTTCATCGACAGCACTATCGGTGGACACGTCAGTATCTAATCCCATCTCTAGATCCAACTGCACATTTTGCTCTTAAAAAAAAGACAAACATTAATTTCGGATCCGTAAAGATTTCAATACGACAGAGAATGGACTCCATGCAAAAAGTCTAAGCTAATCGACAAGAACAAGAACCCTTCGGTACGGCCCGGTATTTTTCTGTTAACATCACCCAGATTTTCCCTATCCGTGGCCTCATTCCCGCAGATATTGTTTCCCACCACTTCCTTTTCTTTACTATGCGCGCTTCCAGAGGACATGCCCAGCCCTTGGGGACCAGGGTTTTCTGAGTCTTAGGCATTTGAGCCCGAGACGTTGCTCTAGAAATAATAAAATAGATCCTCATGATTATGAAAATTGGCTTTTTAAGAGAAAAAGACAGAAAAATGGCATTGAAGCAAGAGTCTTGCATCAAGATAGTCTTGCAGCAAGATTATCTTCATGATCTACGTGACTAGGTTACGCCGAAATAAAAGAGTGCATTTCTACTCTGATGGACCACATTGAATATTTTTCCGGTAAAAGTATTGAAAATCACGTACGTGGGCTATTTCTAGAAGTCAGCCGTAAATTTCCTTTTGCCACCATCTCACAACTGAAGACTAAGAAAGATATCTAAATCTAGAACGCTATTTGTATGCAAGGGTAGAATCTCAACTAACATAGTCACAAACAAAATCATACAGTTTACTCTCTAAGCACTAATAAAATTCAGGCTAAATCGGATTACTTGCAATTCTGCTTCGTATAAGAGGAAGGGCCGTATGTAAAAGTCGCCTGTTTCTGGATGATCGTCTCTTCCGCTCTCTAATTTGCTTCTTATAGTTCACGATTGTATCGAGAAGGTACATCAGTTCCAAACTAAGAAGTCCATCGTGGAAACAAGTGTTGCCGTGGGAGACTAGTCCGTCAAAGGCTTCTTGATCGAAGCCAAGTGGTAAGTAACCGGACATGCCTCTTACTCAGACAAGACCCTAAATTTAAAAGTGCATAGAGAGAAATCTAAATGTTTTTGTTTGTGACTATCAATTAGTTTAGATTCTACCCTTGCCCGCAAGACATTGCTCTAGAATCACAACACTTGGCTAGTCTTGTATTGGAAGATGGTGGCGAAGGACATTCACGGATGGTTTCTTGAACAGACTTCAAGGGTTATTTCCATTACTTTCATTGAAAAAATAGATGTGCAAATTTTATTATCTTTCTTGGAATGTTAAGTTAATAAATACTTAATAAACTTTTAAACAATTAGTGTAATCTTGAGTAAAGAATACAATAATCTTGAGTAAAGAAGAGTCAAAACATAACAAGTATGATATCTTGTACAAAGCATTGAAGATCATGAATTAAAACAAGACGTATTAGAATATAAGTATAAACATAAAGGTACTCTGGGTATAAATAATACTCGATTGGTAGTAAAATTTGTAAAGTATTTTCTAATCATCATAAGTAGATGAATCACAAAGTCTCACAAAAAGTGGTTTTTTTCTTAAGAGATCTTTTCATCGTAGAAAAAATATGATGTTTCTTTTAGTTGAAGTGATCAACTCAATCAAGTCTTTGTCTAGATTTGATATCTCTTATAAGTTCAAAAAAATATACATCATTTCTAGAACTAGAAATATAGATCATTTCATTACCCATCACAAAGAAGTGTAAATGTTTATTCTGAGATCTAATTGTATCTCCATAGATCTTCCAACCACTACTTGTAATCATTTTTCTTTTCTAATTTAACTTCAAATTATATTGTTTCATCCATGGCATTACAATGATGATATCATATCGAACTAAACGAATTACTCTACATTCAATACTCTCATTGTATCTACCTATAGATAATTCTACACTCCGTGGTAGTGTTTCTATCACTTTAGTTTAACTATTTGGCAATTCAACTTTCTCACTCACGTCATTCATCAACATCAAATCTAACTTCATAGTAACATTTCTAGACAGATAATTCTTTGTTGCTCCATGATCAATTAGAATTCTCACCTTGTGTACTTCCATAAAACCATATGTGACAATAAGTTAAGCTTGCTTTTTACTCCTTCCATTTACTAACCATTAACTTCTTATAACCTCGTCTTTTCTTCGCTTTGTAGATTCAGTAAGGTCGCGAGTCAAGTTTATTAATGATTTTTGTTTTTCAAAAGTTCTTCCTCCACCTCTTCATACTCTATTCCCTCCATGTTGTTGAACGGTCGTCGCTGTATGCGCCGTACTCCTTGTGGTGCCAATCTAATCCGACAAAACTTGGCAATGTGACTCATTCGTACACATGCATAACATTAACGATTGTCACGAACTCCAGCTCCTCCTCGAACTATTCCGTTATTTGCATAAACTTTTTGCAAATTTGGAACTCCTGGTCGCCAAATCTTACCTCCAAATCTTGATGGTGGTATTATTGTTGGTGCAAAACCTTTTCTATGTCAAAGGTTTTCCAACCCATCAGTGTTTGACAAGATAGATCTCAAAAGTTGTTTAATCGTTCACCGTGTGTAACACCAAAAGCATTCAAAATTAGTTGAACAATCGCGATTGCTTCATTCACTGTGGATGTATTGCTTACCATCAACTCCTTTCAAATTTGATACTTCAAGCCTCGTTTGAACACGTCGAAGGTTTCTACTCCACTCATATCCATAATAGATACATGAAGATCACAAAAATATTCATTGTACTCATAAATATCTACTTTTTGTTTCAAATTCCACGGTTTCATTCTTGTAGTTTGAAGAGAATCCACTGCTTGAAAATTTTGCATATGTACTTCCACATTCCACTCCACAAAATGGGAGCACCTCGTTCTCAAAGCATTCTTTCCCATGTTGTGTACCATATGAGAGACTTATCCGTAAGATAAGATCTCATGAACATTCTTGCAATGTAATTAGAAACGTGAAAATGGGATAAATAAATTTTTATCATCATTATTCATACCTCTAACACTCACATCGCTTTACTCTCTTTGTAAATTTACATCTTATAAGATTTTTCCATTGAAAGCAAAAAATTTGCTTGATCTTCAATCTCTTGAAGACGTCTCCTATTTGCATCTGTTGCATCAATAGGAGTTGCTTCTGGCAAAACTTGAGGTTCAACTTGCATTTCTCTAACTCTTTCTTTCTCTACTTTTTCACTTTCCAATGCAAATATTCTATCTTTCATGGCTTGCTGTTTTATATACCAATATATTATCGCTTCTTTCAACTCCTTCATATCCGTCATGATTGCGTTGAGAACCTCATCCATATTGATTGATGTCTCCATATTTTCTCATACTCACTCTAATACAAAGTGAGTATAATCACTATCTGATCTTTTAAAAAAGTAGCCTCAAAAAGTATACATGATTCTATTCCAACTCTATAGAACACTTACTCATATTTTCTCACAAGAAAATCTCTTTGTAATATCTTCTTTCAGTATATTATTCTAATCTCAACATAAATGTTGAACCAAACCAGGACGTATAGTTTGCGATTTAAATCCATGAAACATTCAGTATAAAATGTATATAATACAATCTCAAGTCTCTCCATAAGTAACTATTGGAAGAATTAATGGCACTCTCAACATCATCACTCTAATCATAAAATTTACACCCTAACAAGCCACAAGGTACATCCAAAAATGATATTTCTCCATGTAACGAAAATGAATATTGAATATTTGATGGACCACTGCGATGCTGGAGTACTGTCAAGCCTGTTCGTATTTGCAAAATCACAATTTCCCCCTTTAAAGATGTAAAAAGTAAAATTGACCTACATGCAAATCAATGACCTCTATAAGCCTCTATACACTTTCAAAACTGCACTTCATCATCACTCACTTGCTTTTCCATGAGTAGTAATCCACACTTAAGGAAAGAGCAACTTCGCTCTGATACCATTATAACACTAGGGTTTAGAGTTTAAAAAGTTCACTCGAAGATGAAAACATAAATTTTGAATATGAGAGTTATCAACAATGATTCTACTCTCCCTTATATAGCTCTCACCAACAAATACAAGGGGATAAGATCTTATCCCCACCATCCATCTCACTCCTAGTGAATGACATGGCGGTTAATTCTAACAAGCATACGGATTGTTAATGTGGCGCTCCCAACTAACACACTTATTAATGACGTGGCACTGTCAACTAACACATCTACTCTCTACCTACAAAGCGCGCAGATCGTTCACGTGGCAACTATGACTAGTGCACGCTAAAGTATCTATATCAACATTTAGAGTAACGTCTACTTTAGTTCTAACTAATTAAAGCTGGTTACAACCAAGAACCGGAAACTAGAGGTGATCCACGTCTGATGGTTCATGTTGGAAGCTTTGGGATGTGTGTTCTCCAAGCTACTTGTCAAAAACGAAGTGAAGTTCGATGACGCAATTTGCTCAAAACCCCAACACCTTTGCCAAGGTAAAGGAGTTTAAGAACAGAAAGTTGATGCTAGCAATGTTCACAATGTTCGGATTCTTTGTTCATGATATTGTCACCGGCAAGGATCCGATCAAGAACTTGTCCGATCATTTGGCTAATTATTCCTCTCTCTAATATAATAGGATGAGAGATAATTAGCCTAAATTGAATATAACTAGCCATTTACTAAAAAAAACATTCATTTATAAAGATCATTTGATATACTATTGTAACATTTAAATCATTTAAAGTAATGATTCAAATGATCAATACTATAATTTCAAATCCTAAAAATTTGAACAAAAGTTTAAGATTAGTGATCGACTTTTATATATAATCACTTAAAAAATAATAGCTATAAAAAATGTTCATGTGCCTCATAAAATGATTGATCAAACAATTTTTGTCAAGAGTAATTGTAACACTAAAATGTAGAGAGGAAATTTACACGAATATAGAAAAATTAGTTCCAAAGATGAGAAATACCAACAATGGTTATATTCTACTCTATATAATTCTCTATTATTATATCACTAACATGTACAATGAGATAAGATTTTATACATATCATCCATCTCACTCCTACTGGATGAATGACCTGGCGGATAATTCTAATAAATACAAGGATTGTTAATATAGCGCTCACAACTAAAACTCTCAATCCTTACCTAATAAACACACAGATTGCTGACGTGACGCTGTCAACTAACACGCATACTCTCTATTTACCAATCACAAGGATTGCTGACGTGGCACCTATGACTAGTGCACGCTAAAATGTCTATATCAACATTTAGAGTAAACTCTTTTTTAATTCTAATTAACTAAAGATAATTACATGAATGAATAATCTCTATTTTGGTAAAAACGGAAACTATTATCAAAATTAAAAATGTTTTTTGGGTGAATCTTAAATTGTCATTAAAATGTTTGATGCAAGAATAGTAAGACAAACATGATATCATTTTGAAATTAACTTTCATGCTCTTTCTAATTGTTATGGAAAGAGAATTCATGTGGATGCAATGATACATAATAAAAATGATCTAGCATTTGAAAATATAATAAATAACTTGTTTTCCCATTGTCATATTCAACATTCACACATGGTTTTTTTAACAATTTAACTATCTCACTATTAGAAACAAGACGAATGTTAATAATGCAATGTTTGTATTTTAACATCATCACAAAAGCCAATTTACCTTCATGTTTTTAAAACAAATTTCATATATGTATATCTATGGATTATTGACACTAACGCAGTTAAATGTATTATAAAGACTTGCATTCTCTACCTGCCTTTGAAATGTTGTTATTACCTTTGGTAATAAAGTAAGTTACATGAAGTACTTCAAGAGTTGATAAAAATTTGGGTTTTTTTTTCTAATTCAATATTTATTTGAGTTTTTATTGGTGATAATCTGACAATTTGAAATGACCGAACCGCAGTTTCTTAACTTCCTATTTAACGTGATTTTTATATTGTATATTCTACTATTGCAAAAATCATCTATTTAATGTTAATATAAATTTTTTATTTTATTAATATAATTTAGGAAAAAATATATATTAATATTAAAATTCAATTATAAATTCTCTTCCAAGAGATAATAATTGAAGTAAGTAATTAATCTTTACCCGTAAATAAATTAATAATTAAAAATAAAAAAATTAAATATTTACATTTAAGAATAGAGCATTGTAAGCTCTATTCTTTTATCATTTATAATTTGAATTTTCTACCATTAACACAAGTTTACGAAATGAATCTTCCAATTCTTAAATAATCTCAAATTAACTTTGTTTATTAATTTGCTGTACAGTAAAAGTTTAGATTAATTCGATATTTTTTTCAAAATATGCATGTGGAGAATTTTGTATATCGCAGGTCGAATGTTCCAACGATCGAAACTCTGCAATCAATTATTACGTGATGAAGTGTCTGCGTTACAGCTTGACGACAAACTCCTGCAGGAGTTTGTGAAACTGGAAACACACTTGGTACCTCAAGTATGCGATTCCCTCGTCTCATCTAACCGATGTTTCCAGTTTCACGAACTACTGGAAATCCCGCCCGGTTAGATGAGACGAGGGAGTTTCATCTGATGAGTACTCGAGAATTCGAAGTTGTAAGCAATCTTTAACTTTAAACTTGGCACTGGTTACCTCAAAGTATAAATATCCCTCGTCTCATCTAACGGAGATTTCCAGGAGTTTGTGAAACGGAAATATCGGTTAAATGAGTCGAGGGAGTCGCATACTGAGTTACCCAGGCCGCATCTGATGACTGCTCGAAAATTCGAAGTTAGAAGCAAAAACACCGCACTGTATGTTGAAGCGCTACTTCAACACCAGGTGGTCTACATCTGCCTCGAAGACAACGTCCGCCAACGAGAGGAGTATGGATAACACACTTCGACGGACAGAATTTGCAAGACGAGATACGCCCACTTACAGTTTGCGTAGTATCAGCTGCCTGAGCTACACTGTTTCGATAAGAGAACCACAGTGACCCAATGCAGGTTTGAGAGGGTCTACGACGGTGTGGGTTCCGCCGTGCGATGGTTCGTATTACGCACACTCTCTAGAGATGCTGTACTGCGTCCCCTCAAATTTTTCTACAACCCAGGTCAACATGCATTAGGCCGCAGCCCATCCTTCCCAACCAACAGATGAAGAGAACGACCTTAGGCCGTTACATTCTGGAAACGGAAGGAGGAATGACCGACTGACCATATATTCAGCAATATTACCTGACGATCAAGTGCATACACTGGACACTTACTCATGTGAAATCGTGGGAAACCCATTCGCAAGAAGTTTTCTCATTTGTAGGTCTTGATGATGACCCTAGTGAACTGGCTTCCAAGAACTTGTATTTACACATATGCACCAACTAGAAATGCTCGACGTCTAGAAATCCCAGGGTCTAAAATTTACACTGTTCTCGAACAGGAGAGATCCCACCCAAGCACAACTTCAGTGAATGCAAAGGGTTTGATGTTGACTGTAGGGCACCCATATCTACGCTATGTACAATTTACACCAAGCGAAACTGTTCATGGGTGACGCTCTTCGGCGTCCTATTCCAAATCGATTAGCGTTTCCGTGGTATCTTTTGGAGACCTTTCACAGCAGTCACACTGGTTCCAATTGCCCAGAATGCTGTGCTTGGTGGACGCCAATACGTGGAAACCCAGTACCACGTATGGTAGTTCTGCAATCCGAAAGATGCCACCTTGGGGAGGGGCTTTGCATTTGGTCGATACGATCGAGGGATTGGTACAGGCTTAGAGGAAGAGATTTGGTATATCCTCCGGCCTTTTTGAGAAGTGAGGTGTTCGAATTCCGTCATGTTCTATGCATGCAATCCGTTAGCACTTCTCATTGTACTCGTGCCATAGTTGTTCTAGTCCATCAACATGAGCCAGTCCCACGACAGCGACGACCTTTCCCGGCAAGGATCGAAGTCTCTTCGCCATAATTTCGTTTCTGTCATCCACTAAAATCTGAAAAGTCCACAAAAGCCGAGCATTAGACTACATTGAAATACCATATGGTCAATGACAAATTTCCTATTTCATGGTTTCTTTACCTATATTCCTGTCAATAATGTACAGCGTGAACCATTCGTTCTGTCAATCTACAACAATTCCTATGAACCTCATCAACAACTTCCCACTGGTCTATATCTAACTACTGATCAGACTTGTTCCTTTCCCATAGGAATAACTTCCTTCAGCCAGAAAGAAAAACAACGTTACAAATATTACTCTTCTATGCTTACTCATCTACAGTTTGTGAACCCTCTTTCAGGCTGTGTAAGAATACCGCTCTGACACGTTTCCCATCTCTACAGAGACTGCGCTCAGACGTCCGGTCTAAATTTACAAAGCGACTTAACAGTAGCTTTTCGTTCGTAACCTGTGGGCAGAAGAACACAAATCCTGCACCTGACAGACGTAACATCTACACAACTTACTAGAAAACAGGATCGAATTTGGTGAACCAGTTTACAATGGTGGATTTACTCACTTTATGTATATGTGGAGCTCCTTTCTTCATTTCCTCATTAAATCGCCTCACGACTCTTCGATCTCTGAATCGTTCAAATAATTCTGTCTTGGAAACATCCTGTCCCCTGCCAAGAGCTTTGGCCATGTCCGGCGGCATAGGCTGTCCGAACAACCTGAAGGCATCTTGCATTGACATGTTCAGGTCAAAGTCCCCCAAAAGCATAAGGGTTTTTTCAATTTCCTGATCTCCGAGCACAATTTCGGCTCCAACCCTTTTGCCTGCTTCCATGGCGACCTAGCAATCGAGATGAGTGACGAATGTCAGTAAAAGAGCAAAGTGACTTACAAGTATTCCAGATGAACGAGACGCACCTACCAGAATCTAAACAAAGTGTGAACGAAAAGATATAATTGGATGTGCTTGGAAAATTAGTTGCCAATACAGTAAATGATTCAAGCACGGTATTACGTACATTTGTGTAACGAAGGAGGTGCACTTTCACTTATCTCACATGATCGCACAGAAATAACTCAAATGGTATATTCTTAAGCAGAACATCGGTTCTGCTAGGACGATTTAGATTATCTGAGCTTATATTATACCAAAGTTTACATACCTGTGGATGAGGTACGTGACTCTTTGGAAGGCGTACATGATGACAAGGAACCACAATAATCAAGATATTCCAGGTTCCATCTGGATGGAGTTCCCTCAATCGTCACAATGAGTATTACCTACTATGAGCAACATAGTACCTGGAATTCTTGACCAGGATAGGAGCTGTGGTGAGGCTGCATTCTAGAAAGCGCGGCACCTAGCAGCCTCGCTCTGCCCTTCGTTAGCTTTTCGATAATGTGTTCGAGTAAGGAGATCTTCTTAATAGTTTTTCTCAGTTCTAGGCTATCGTATCGTTGTCTACACAGCTCCACCAGCACGTAGTTTGGCCGCACTTTTTCAATAATCTGCAGGCGAAATTACATAATCAGCTACTTCGACTCGCATCCGACCGGGTAAGTACCTCCAGCAACAAATCCGACTGCTTAAATCAAAATTTCACTGCTTTAGAGCTGTATGAAGTAGTAATATTAACAACATTCATCAAACATGCCCTTAGGACCATCTTAATAAGCTCTTGGGTACTAAGTGTAAAACGCAGGGGCTGATACACTCTCTCTGGAGCTTGAAACTTTGAAAGAATTTTAGAGACTCGGCCGATCACTTTGTGACCTCACACTCCTTGACTTCGAGGAGACTTTATCAGCACGAATGAGCTTCATGCCACGGGACTGTAAACGCGCACAGGATAAAGACATTCGGAGGAGTGTCGGAACATGGCATCCACATGACAACCCAAATTGGCATCAAGACTGAGTCAACGCAAGCTTAAGTGACAGAATGAATGGCGTACCTGCTGCACTTCTTTAACGCTTTTCCTCGAAACATGGGAAGTGCCGACTATGTACACTTCGGCCCCATTCGAATAGTTCTTGAGCTGCACGACGCCCTCGTCCGTTTGATGAAATTTGCGAGCCATCTTCGCATCGGCTGCACTGGCAGAAGAAGTCGGCGACTCGACGTCGTCGTCGTCCCTTTCTCCCACCTTCTGCCCTCTGTCCTCTCGAATCGTGCGCCTGTCTTCGACTTCTCCTCCTCCTTCCCTCTCCTCTCCGTTCAAAAGAACACCTCCAAAATCGCTCTTTCCACCAGCCCTGTCGCTATCTTCTGCACAATCGTAGAGCTGGTAGACATTCACGCCGGCCGAAGGCTTGGGCCAGTTCGAGAGCTCGTAGAACTTGCCTTCGGAAGTAGGAATACTACTACTACTACCACTCTCGGGCATATCGAAGCCTCCCTGTCGTCTCGCCTTCTTGATTCGTTCCGGATCGTCTTCAGCTCTTGCTTCCGAAGTCGATCGCTTGCGCGGACCGATGGAAGCTCCCGGTCTCCAATTCTTCTTGGCGAAGAGAAAGTGGCCTACGGCGCACGATTGCAATGGCGTGAACCGCTTGCTCTGCTGCTGCTGCTGCCGCCGATGCCGAAGCCGATGCTCACACTGCGGCACATCTCGACGGGCCACGCGCGACGACCTCCTCGACCGAGCTCCCCGCACCGCCCTCCATTCGCCACTGCGATCGCCGGAGTGCAGACTCCTGTGAGTGCGAGCCAGTATGTGACCCGTCTGCGGCTCAACAGGGCATCGGGGCCTGGCATTGCCAAAGACGGCATTTCGGGGATGCTGCGGCGACTTCACCGCCCTCTCGGAGGCCAGACGAAATCCGTCCTGCGGAGGGCAGCATCGCTTCTCCCACTCCCTCTTGAGGTGCCGGCTGCTGTGATTGAGAACCTGGAGTTGGCGAACTCCGCGGGGCTGCGGCTTGCTGAACCACCGGAGCCTCGCGCTCGCATTGCAAGCGGCATATCGGCCGGAAGACGAGGAGGCAAAGCGGCAGGACTTGGAGATCGAGGCAGAAGCGTAGGACGAGGTCGAGGCCGAAGTCGAGGGGGCGGAGGCGCAAGGCGAGCGAGCTCGCGCTGCAGCGTTTGTCCGGTCTAGGGTTTTCGATCCGAGCCCGTACGAGGGTGTCGGTAAGGTGGGGCAATTGAACGAGATGAAACACTTGTCTATGGGCAAAACGGACGTCGAAACGCCTGTCACCGTCGTCGTCATGAGTGATCCTTTCTAGCGACTCCTAACTGACAGCTGATTCCACTGCCCGGCTGACCACCACGTCGATTATGCAATTTCTCCCGCAGCTTGACTTTAAAACCACCTTCATCCCTTGCGCACCCTCGTCACCCCGCAGTAACAAGACCGACACCTACCGGTGTCAGTGGTCGGGGCCATGCTCCATTCTCGGCCCTGCTCCTGTTCCTGCTCCTTTTCCCGAGCTCGCAACCCCGTCTGCGCGCGAGCAGACAGGCAGTCGTCAATGAATAGGGTTGCGGAGCTGGGAATCGTTCATGGAGCCCAACATTCATCCATTCCCCATTCACGCAATCATGAAAGTACCGGATCGATGCGATGGCCGACGGAAGCGCGCACCCACTCGGGGCTCCTGCTGCGACTGCGACATGGACCGAACGACCCTAGCCTAGGTGAATCTTGCTTGAGAAATGCAGCACCGAGATGCGCTTTATCTGTTTCTCGTGATGAATCTCGCAAAAGTACATCATGACATAGCGTGAAGAACGAGGAACCTTCCGCGTCCCGGTCCCGCGCTGTAGATTCGTTCTTTTCACCGCTCGATCGACGCAGAGCCGAGATCCGTGACCCCGTTCGCCCTCGCTCTACTCGTTCTCCACTACTGTATCCCTCTCCGTCTGTATCTCGACCTCGTACATGCATTCACATTGCCTTTGTTCTCTTCTTCGAATCTGCGATTCGTCTCATGTCAGACCCGAGGATTGGACGGAACTGCGCGACTTTTGCAGAACGAAGACTCGTAACCTTAGGTCCTCGGGGAGTAGCTCGGGTTTGACCACTGCCCGATTACGAGAAGCTTCATCTGCTACGTTGACCCAGAGCTTCAAGGCCCCAGCAGAGTCACTGTTCGAGAAATGCATTTACGAGGCGGACGATGCCACGATTTATACCAATCCCCGCATCGCCGAAAATACCCTCCACCGTCGGGAGGGGCTTCCGTGGCCAGCGACATCACACCCAAAAAAAGAATGCAGCGATGCCGAGCGGCCCTGCGATCTTCATCACCCCGACGAGGGAGTCTTCGACACTCCACATGCTATTGCGAGGCTAAAACCAAATTCTCTCCACATTTCTTGTGCGAAGTCCAAATCGATCGGGCCATTTGCGTCTTGATGGGAAATACTTTGGCGAGAAAATTTCGGGTGCACCGGCCCATTACACTCCACGCTATGATCGATTTGTTTCTTCTTTGATCGAGATCTATAACCCCACAATTTATCTTTCTTTGATCTACAAATGAAGCTGAAGCTCATGCTCTCTCTCTCTCTCTCTCTCTCTCTCTCATACAACGCACACACACTTTCCAGAAAAGTAAGGAAGGGAAGGGAGTTCAATTCACTGGAACTTGTGTCCACCCCGACCCCCATTGGGATCTGAACTGAACAAAGGGCTTTGCCTCATCCTCCTCTCCTCGAGCTCGGTGCTCAATCCCCGAAGGAGAGTATGGACATGGAAATGCTAACGGAGACGTCTCACTCTGCCTGTGAGCTTCCACGCGACGATGATGACGGACGTCGTACACTTTTCGGTACACTTTTCGGACGTACTTCGTTTTCGGGCGAATGCTGTTTCTCGCCACATGTTCTTCTTTTTCTTCCCATACGAGATTCTATCGACTGTGATGCGAAATTAACGTGTTCGAGCCGCCTAATTGTGATGCTTTGAGTTCACATTTGTGAACTCAGAGCATTACAAATCAAGGAACCCTGAGGTAAATGGTAAATGGAGGCTTTTCACTCCATGCTTTCTATTCAGTTCAAGTCAGACAGTTCTGTCGACCACGTGGATGGAGTTCGATATTTCATTGAGTGGACGAGACGCGGTTTATTAGATTTCTCCTCGAGAAAATTACTTGATGGAACCTGCAAAACGCAAAACATGTCATTCCACCGTCCACGAGTTATATAGGAACTGGATGTCCAGAGCTCCTGGAACGTTGAGAAATCTTTTGAATGAGAGTTCAAAACTTCAAAAAGTATCAACTAGCCACTCACAAACACTAATTCTTGGGAATCGAAACGCTGAGAAATATCTTGAGTGACATTTCAAAACTTATCAACGAGTTCGTTTTGAGAATCGAAACGAATTTTGCGGACGAGTTCACAATTTTTGTAAATGCAACAAGTTTTCCCAAGAACGAGTGGAGAAAAAGAGCGTGACATGAGTTTCATGACAATTTTATTATCAGATTGATTATTCTAAATTGCATTCCATAACTATAAATCATTTTAACATTATCGCGGAAACAATTCAGGTTGGTTGTTCTGAATAGCATTTCATTACATTGTCATAATATCTTCTCACAAAAACACTTCATACTCATGGCCAAAATATCTACCACGAATATTTTGGCAATACCTCCTCTCCATCAACTGTTGGGTTACAAGGATACGTATTGGAACTAAAAGGCGTTGTGGTAGGTACTATAGGCCAAAATGAATAGTCTTAGGTCCCAATAAGTGTTTTGTTATGATATGGTAACATCAAATATAAAAAAAAATATCTCTATTCATAATTTGACCGCAATTGATTGATAGTGGATGAGAATAAATCTTTTATTGTCAATAAAGATTTTCATTTCATGTTCATGTGGAAAGAGTTCATGATTGGGTTTATTGTATGATTCCCAAATAAGCGATTTTAAAACACGCGGTGTGTAAAGTGTATTCTTTTCAAGTTGTCCTACTTGGAAACCTGATCTCATACAAATCAAGGACAGCACATTGTATGCACCGCGATCCGATTATGCATTCCCATTAAAAATGGAAATGGACATCCATTCCACTTTTTATGGAACATCCAGAGTTCTAGGATTCTGATTATTTAGTTTTAGATAAAGATAAAGACTTTAGATAAAGACTTTACTAAAGACTTTACTCGCGTCTGAGGAGCAAAATTTCGAGATTAATGTTTTATATTCTTCGATCATCTGTATGTGTTGACTTGCAAGAATATTCCTCAAACTGATGATGACTTTAAAATTAAAAAAAGTTCTTTACAATGAGAGCAACGAAAATACATCGGTGTGTTACTGGAGACACTGGAGGATCCATCAAACAAACCAAGTACGCAGGTTTGATGAAGGGAGTAGAAACTGGCAACGTGTGAAGCTGGCCATGGCCTTTCCACATGCGTCCATCGTACTCCTAATCTCAAAGCTTGATCTTCACAGAAAGGATTCAACATGTGAAGGTTGTGACGTGCGCCACCAATAAAGATCGATTCTGGACAACTCATCCATGCAGGAACAAGTTGTGCGTGAGAATTAATAGCAGGATTGTGACCGCGCTTGATTCAGGTCCGATTGCTCCACATCAATCAATGAATCACTCCTCACATTTTGTACAGTACATGTTGTATCGTCTATTTAAGGGGTCCGGCAATATCTTCAGGTTTCCAAACTGAAAACGCCATCACGATGTGCAAGAATTCACCGATCCATCTTCCCCTGAATCATTGGGTGATATTCTCTCCTTCGAATTACAATCCCTTTACACTCTCAGTTCATCCATGAATATAGACATTAACACTGCAAAGCTCCATATGGATGATGGTGGTTTTTACTAATAGCAGTACATTATGTTGTATGTGTGAAGAGTAAAAGATTTTTGTTAAGAAAGAGTTGTGTTTTTTATGAAAAATTCAAGAATTTTTGGTGTAAGTAAACGCTCTGATGATCACCATACGAAGCATTCTACATGAAGAGCGTCAATCAATCATAATACTATAATATTTCTCAATTCAATAATAGAATGTATAACCTACATATACGTTTGAAACAATCATGGTGGATTTTATTGTACATAACATGAAATGTTTACAAGAGCAAGTGATCCTGATTTCTTCTCATAAATAACTTGCACACCTTGTTTCTTACACGTCTGCCCTCCACAACAAATTGTCAAATTTTACAACCAAGTGGATAAACTCATGTATTATGTAACCAGTATCCGAAGAGTTAATCATACAACATGTATTTTTGTTTCAATTTCACATTCATCCACTAAATGGTAATTCATTGTATATTGCGCAACCCAAAAATACATGCACATGGCATGTACTTATAGTTGAAAGTGTAGATAATAGAAAGATCCATTAGATAGATCAATATGATAGATTGCAACCCATAATCACCATGGGAAACTTGATTCACTAAATATTGAAGATTTGGACCAGTACACGCCAAGTCCATCTACCAACTGGTAATGATGGTAGAAGAATTGCTCGATCACGACAAATCTAAATTTGCGGAGAAACTAAAGCACTTGATTGCTGGATACTATTTTACTTACTCACTCCACGTCAAGTTCACAGAACCAGCGCAAGCCACGTCACCAAGCTGGAGAGAAATCGCCATGCAGGTGGATTAGAAACTGAGCACAAACAATGATGAGGTCTATCGATTTTGCTTGATTATTTGGCTCCACATTATCAATTATCAGTCATATATAATTACAAAAATCACCTAAATATTATCCAATGTAATCAAATCCATAATCTGCTAAATATGTTCAAAACTTTATCAATGAAGAGGCTTGATATATGACTCATCTAAAAATAATAAAATTATACTATCGTTGCAACATGAAAAACTTGACTATTTTGGTTGGAGATGAAATACTCCATTGGAAAAACATAAAAAAAATCCCTCTAAACTATGTGTTGATTTTCCACTCTAGACCTTGGAATTATACGATGCCACCCTGAAATTCTGCGATTACATGCATTCTGCGATTATTTAATATTAATTTTTTTTCAATCACCAACTGAGAATCCAGTTGACCGGATAGTAAGTCGGTTGCAATGATGTGTAGCATCGTCATCAGGACCACCACATTGCACCACATATGAGACAAATGAACTTAATAATATGAAGTGATACATTAGCATATTGATTTTATAATCTTCTTAAAGAGTAGTAAAATAGTTGAGCTTAAGTATATATGATGTTTTCAATTTCTATTTCTCTTTTCACTCAAAGGTTTCATTTTGTACTTTTTCCTTCATCTTATGTTTGGACATTCAATGATTTGCAAGACAATGGATTCTGCATATTTCTGCTCCGCATCAAGTTTGGGAAAGAATAGAGCAGAAATAAGTAGTTAAATGACTTTAAAGACAAACTTGTGATTGTTTTCTTCTCAAACTTACAAAAAAACAACAAAATCTATCTGCTATAAAACACAATAAATATTTTAAACATGTTCTCTTATCTTACATCACATAACATAGTTTTTTAATAATTTCATTAGTACAAAACTCGAAACATTTCTAAGCTTGAAAAGAATACTTTGTGCACATATTTATCCAAACATACACAACTGTTTACATAAAGACAAAATATATATTATAAATTAGTGTAATTACAACATTAGCATAATATAACTTTCATTTTGTTCATAAAGACATTAGATTCATCAATATTAGCATTTATTAAAACACATTCATTTTTGTGGATTCAAAGATTTCTGTTGTTGATGCTAGTAACTATTCAAAATTAGATCTTCATTGTTAATTTTAAGTATTACATTCACATCAATTTTTATTGTGAGATTTTTTCCTTGAATCCTATTTTATTGAAATTATTTTTAAAAAGTATAGTTTTAATGCACTCAGACCTTAAAATATTTAAAATTCTTGTACATTTCATAAAAAAATCTCATTTAAACTCAACTGAATTCATTGAATTCAATTAAAAAACATGAAACATGTCATTTTTATGCAATTTAAGTCCAAAAATAATTTTGATTTTGAACTTGTTCAGTTAATCATGAATTTGACATTAAATTTTTTTATTTAATTTCAAATTATTCATATCAAGAAAGATATTTTGATCTTAAGACTTTCTTGATTTTGCACAAAAAAATTGATTTAAATCATATTTTTGAAACAAATTTGAAATTTTTTCATGCAGTTTAATGATCATGCAATAAATAAATAAAAATTATCATGCTATATATAATATAATCATCAAAATAGAATTATAAA